TCTGCTCCTCTGATGCTGCTTGGCCTGCTGTGTTCATCCAGCTCTACACCTTGTTATCTCAGACTCCAGCATCAGCAATTCCTACTATCTCTACTGGCTTTGGTGCTGGACCAGTGTGAAGGACTCTCCACGTGTAAATAAAAGGTGACCTGGTGACAGGATACAGGCCTTTGTGGAGTTTTTGGAAATGCACTACAGCCACATTTACAGGTGACACAAAAACAGGTGGGAAAGCAAGTGGCGAAGATGACACACAGAGGGGCAGAGACTGGACATGTGAGTGGGCACAAACTGAACATATGGACTATAATATTATATCCATTTTGTAACAGCAGTCAGTAACAGTCAATATTAGGTCCATACAGGTTTTCCTTCTTCATTCTAACTGGGCAATTGGAAGTGTGAGCTCATGCACTTTAGTAGGAGGAACGTGACTATTCTTATAATGAAAGACTGCAGAAAGCTACAGAGCAGACAGATTTGGACATCCTTTTCCCTGAATCACAAAAAACTAGCATCCAAGGTAATAGAGATGGTAAATTGAATGTTGGACTTTTTATTTCAAAAGGAATGGAGTATAAAAGTAGGGAGGTTTTGGGAAAATTATACAAGATATTAGTCAGATCACAGCTGGAATACTGTGAACAGTTTTGGGCCACTAATCTAAGAAAAGATATACTGACATTGGAGGAGTTCTGAAGAAGGGTCCCAACCCGAAATGTTGACTTTCCTGCTCCTCTGATGCTGCCTGGCCTGCTGTGTTCCTCCAACTCCACACTGTGTTGACACTGGCACTGGAGGCAGTCCAACAAAAGAAGAAAGAACAAAGAAAATTACAGCACAGGAACAGGCCCTTTGGCCCTCCAAGCCTACGCCGATCCAGATCCTCGATCTAAACCTGTCACCTATTTTCCAAGGATCTGTATCCCTCTGCTCCCTGCCCATTCATGTATCCAGATATAGCTTAAATGATGCTATCGTGCCCGCCTCTACCACCTCCGCTGGCAACACGTTCCAGGCACCCACCACCCTCTGCGTAAAGAACTTTCCACGCATATCTCCCTTAAACTTTTCCCCTCTCACCTTGAAATCATGACCCCTAGTAATTGAGTCCCCCACTCTGGGGAAAAAGCTTCTTGCTATCCACCCTGCCCATACCTCTCATGATTTTGTAGACCTCAATCAGGTTCCCCCCTCAACCTCCATCTTTCTAACATAAATAATCCTAATCTACTCAACCTCTCTTCATAGCTAGCGCCCTCCATACCAGGCAACATCCTGGTGAACCTCCTCTGCACCCTCGCCAAAGCATCCACATCCTTTTGGTAATGTGGTGACCAGAACTGTATGCAGTATTCCAAATGTGGTCAAACCAAAGTCCTATATAACTGTAACATGACCTGCCAACTCTTGTACTCAATACCCCGTCCGATGAATGAAAGCATGCCGTGTGCCTTCTTGACCACTCTATCCACCTGCGTTGCCACCTTCAGGGTACAATGGACCTGAACACCCAGATCTCTCTGTGCATCAATTTTCCCCAGGGCTTTTCCATTTACCATATAGATCGCTCTTGAATTGGATCTTCCAAAATGCATCACCTCGCATTTGCCTGGATTGAACTCCACAGTCCAGAGGAGGTTCACTCAGCTGATCCCGTGTATGGGGGGACTGCCTTATGAGGAGAGGTTGAGGAGATTAGGCCTGTACTCGCTGGAGTTTAGAAGGATGAGTGGTAACCTTATTGATACTTACAAGATTCTTAGGGAACTTGACAGGATAGATGTAGAAAGGTTGTTTCCCCTTATGGGAGAGTCTAGGACCAGAGGAGGGTCACAAATTTAGGACAGATGAGGAGGAACTCCTTCTCGTAGAGGATAATGAAGCAGTGGAATTCTTTACTGCTGAGGGCTGTCGAGGCTGGGTCATTGAGTCTATTCAAGGTTGAGATAGACAGATTTGTAATCAGTCGGGGAATCAAGGGTAATGGGGAAAAGTCAGGAAAGTGGAGTTGTGGATTATCAGATCAGCCACAACCTCAACGAATGACAGAGCAGACATGATGGGCCGCATGGCCTAATTCTACCTCTACATGTTATGGCCTTCTAGAAAGAGTTCCCAATCATGAAAGGGTCAAGGAGGACAGGACCACAGATTTAGAGTTAACAGCATGTCACGACCAGAGATGAGCAGTTAGACTAACCTCAGTGGTGGGGAAATGTATTGGGGTCAATTCTGAAGGACAGAATTAATCTTCATTTGGAGAGGCAGGGACTAATCCAGTTCAGCATGGTTTATTGAGGGGAGGTCATGTCTGACTTACTTGGTTGAAGTTTTCAAAGTGGTGACCAGGTTTGTAGATGAGGGTGGTGGTTTTCATGTAGTCTACTTGGAGTTGGTGTTTGATGGGGACAGTATCAAGGGAGCTTTACCCTGTGTCTAACCCGGTGCTGACCCAGTCCTGGGAGTATTTGATGGGGACAATACAGAAGCAGCTTTATCCTGTGTCTACAAGGCTCAAGTCAGGAGTGGGATGGAATACTCCCAACTTTTGCCTGGATGGGGGCAGCCCCAACAACGCTCAAGAAGCTTGACATCATCCAGGACAAAGCAGCCGCTTGATTGGCACCACATCCACAAGCATTCACTCCCTCCACCACCGACGCTCAGTAGCAGCAGTGTGTACTATCTACAAGATGCACTGCAGAAATTCACCAAAGATCCTCAAACAGCACCTTCCAAACCCAAGACCACTTCCATCTAGAAGGACAAGGGCAGCAGATACATGGGAACACCACCCCCTGCAAGTTCACTTCCAAGTCACTCGCCATCCTGACTTGGAAATATATCCCTGTTCCTTCACTGTCGCTGGGACAAAGTCCTGGAATTCCTTTCCATCGGCATTGTGGGTCAACCCACAGCAAATGGACTGCAGCGGTTCAAGAAGGCAGCTCACCACCACCTTCTCAAGGGGTAATTAGGGACAGGCAATAAATGCTGGGCCCAGCCAGCGACACCCACATCCCACAAATGAGTTTTAAAAAAAAAAAAATCTAACCCAGTACTGTTCTTGTCCTGGGAGTGTTTGATGCGGGACAGTTTTGAGGGAGTTTTACTCTATATCTAACCCAGTGCTGTCCCTGTCCTGGGAGTGTTTGATTTGCCTCTGGATCCTGAAATAATCGTGTTGGATTTTTCCAGGGACACGGTTCCGGCCTTTGTCTTTCGAGGTTCCGAAGCCACTGTTCCCAGTGGCTGGGGTCCCGATGATTCAGCATCATATCGAGGCTTGTGCAAAGGTATCAAACTTCCTTTCAATTTCACTTGTAATTGTTGACAAATGATTATTATTGTCAATGAGATAATGAGCTGGAAATCAGCCCCGCTATTCTCAGTGTCATCGCAAAAATTCAAGAATTTTATCAAAGTTTTCAAAATTCCCTCTTTTAGACTCAAAATGAAAGCATTGAACATATTTCTGTAGGTTGACTCTTAACTGCCCTCTTGGCAATTAGGGATGGGCAATAAATAAAAATAAACAAACTTTACAAGAATTACGATTATTAGAAATAAGTGGATTCTTGCTACAGATATACTAATGAGATGACAACATTTAGTTCTCTTAACTAAAACTGTAAAATTTAAAACTCCCCCCAAATGCACACATATATAGAAAGACACAAAAAAAAACAAGGGCGTTATGGACAGAAGGAAAGACTACCAAGATAGTTCAATGGTCTCGGTTGATACGGTTCACCAAGATGATCCTTTTTGTTTGTCAGGACTTGCTACTCTTCCTTCTTCAAGTACTTTCACATGTTGCAGGAGGCACAGAGCAACTGGTTCACAACTTACGAAGCCTCTGACTTATTGGTTAAAAGCCACAACTGGTGAGAGGCAATAAATTGGACTTTTTTCAGGCTTGAGGTGTTTTTCACTGCTGAGAAAAGAACAGTGCCTTCCTTTCTGAAGATCTGATAGCTTCTGGGAGCCAATCACATAGTTGTTGCCAGGCAGAAGGCCTGATATCGACAACGAGTCACCGTTCAACACCATTCTGCCCCTTGTTGCTGGCAGAATTGCCATTTGTACACACCCCAGCTCCAGCTCATTCTGTGGCCTTCCACACTGCTTCACCCAGCAGCTGTGTAAACAGCACTTACAGTGAGAGTCAGCGAACGTGCTTTAAAAATGTGTGGTAACCATTTTGAACAAATAGTTCTTAAAATAGTCCTTATTCTTCCTGACTCATTCACAAATTTCACAGAAATAAAAGGTATGATCTTTACACAATCATCCTGAAGCCTAGTGGTGCAACCAGTAGAGTATAAAGGGACAAAAACAGAAATTGCTGGAAAAGCTCAGCAGGTCTGGCAGCATTTGTGGAGAGAAATCAGAGTTAACATTTTGGGTCGAGTGACCTTTCCTTAGATTTCATAAAGGAATATAGAAAGTACAGGCACCCCCAAAGATGTTTTACCAGCAAATAAGGAGCAAAAGGACAGTTATTTATGGCAATTAATTATAAACCAATTGTTAATTTTAAATCTGTGGTCGATGGATTTTTATTATCCAGTGATGTTAAGGACTATGGAAATAAGTCGGCTATACAGAGTTAGGTCATGTCTTAGCTAGAATCTCATTGAATGCTGGAACAGGCTGTGGGGCTGAATGGCCTCCTCCTGTTCCTGTGTTCCTCTCTGTCTCTCTCTCTAGGTTCCAAATATGAAGGAGATTTTACTGATTGGGTTTTACCAGCCCAGTGATGAATTAAACCGTTTCCTCACGTCAGCACAGCAGGAATTCAAAGTCTGTATCAGGTAATGGTTAATTGCCCTGAAAGCCCATTGTGTAATTGATATTGTGCAGGCTGTCAGGTGTATGTGCAGGTTCAGTATGCGGGGTAAAAGTCTGCTGCTGAGAGCACTGTACAGTGAGCATCACTCTCACGCTGTTCTGGGTTTGCCATCAACATCCGATTAGTTTAGTTAATACTTGCTTGGCCTCATGTCTGTTTCTGGTGATCAGAAATGACCAACAAATCACTCAGATTTTCTCACCAGCAACAGTTTTCTATCCACGATTCCCTATTCCTCTTCCTGCCAGTTTCTTTGTTCAGATACTGTCTGTATTATAGTCATGGAGAAACCACTAATGTAGGAACATAAGCCCTACAAGGCAGGAATGTTGGCTATTCAGCCCTTTGAGCCTGCCTTCCCCACGTTTGATAAGATTATTGCTGATCTGATTGTGGTTTCAGCTGCATTTTCCTGTCTGCTTCCATGAACCCTTCACTCCTTTGTCTCTCAACCCTCTGTTTAACTCCACGTTGAATATATTCATAAATAAAGGCAAAATGCTGCAGATGCTGGATATCTGAAACAAATGCAGAGTGTGCTGGAGAAACTTGGCAGTATCTATGGAGACAGAGAAACAGAGTTATTGTTTTGAGTCAGCTATGACTCTTCCTCAGAACTCTCTATCCTTATGTCCGTCTGCTCTCAGGTATCTCCAGGAGTACATAGCTCTGGGCACTGGTGGTGGGCTGTATCACTTCCGAGACCAGATCCTGTTTGGAAACCCAGAGAAATTCTTTGTCATGAACACAGATGTTTGCTGTGAGTTTCCCCTGATGGAGATGATGGAATTCCAGCAAGCTCGAGGTCACATCAACTCATTCGTCATGTTGGGCACAACTGTAAGAAAATTGTTACAATCTTTTGTAGAAAGCCTTGGAAATTTCTATTCGGCGTTAGAGGACAGGGAAGGGTGGTACAGAGCAGGCTGAAGGGGGTAGTGGTTTAGGGGCAGAGCAGTGGAGAGTGGTTCAGAGGGAAGGTTGTTTAGGGGTAGACAGAGGGATGGAGGTTCAGACTTCGATGGGTGAGGCTGGTGTAGTTTTTATCCATTCGTGGGATGTAGGCATCGCTGGCTGGTCCAGCATTTATTTCTCGTCCCTAATTGCCCTGGAGAAGTTGGTGTGAGCTGCTGCCTTGAACCACTGCAGTTCCTGTGTGTGTAGGGGCACCCAGCGCCACCAGTGATGGATTTCCCAGATTCTGACCCAGCGACAGTGAGGGAACGGCAATATATTCCCAAGTCAGGATGGTGAGTGACTTGGAGGGGAGCTTGCAGGGGGTGGTGTTCCCATGTATCTGCTGCCCTTGTCCTTCTAGATGGAAGTGGTCGTGGGTTTGGAAGGTGCTGCCTGAGGGTCTTTGGTGAATTTCTGCAGTGCATCTTGTAGATAGTACACACTGCTGTTACTGAGTGTCGGTGGGGGAGGGAGTGGATGCTTGTGGATGTGGTGCCAGTCAAGCGGGCTGCTTTGTCCTGGATAGTGTGGAGCTTCTTGAGTGTTGTTGGGGCTGCACCCATCCAGGCAAGTGGGGAGTATTCCATCACACTCCTGACTTGAGCCTTGTAGATGGTGGACAGGCTTTGAGGAGTCAGGAGGTGTTATTCACTGCAGGATTCCTAGCTTGTCACCTGCTCTTATAGCCACTCTGTTTATGTGGCAAATCCATTTGAGTTTCTGTTCAATGATAAGCCCGGCACAATGTTGATAGTAGGACATTCAATGATAACGCCTTGATCGTACACACATGATGGGTCGAATGGTCTCCTTCTGTACTGTAAAATTCTACAATTCAAGTGGGCGATTGTTACATTCTGAGATAACAAGGTGTAGAGCTGGATGAACACAGCAGGCCGAGCAGGTCTTTTTGAGACAGTCATTGCCTGACACTTGTGCGGTGTGAATATTATGGTGTGAGATGTTTAGTCGAAGCTGCTTGCTAATGCTCTCCTGTTGTCTCTCTGCAGGCAAACAGGAGGCAGTCAATGAATTATGGCTGCATTGTGGAGAATCAACAGACACACGAGGTGAGTCCCTTGCTCTGTCACAGCCCACGATGAGCTCTGGGGACAGCGAGTAGGCTCTGCCTCCTGCCTCATTGAGCACAAGTTGCTTCTATTACACAGAATGTATAGGGAGGTGATGGCCTAGTGGTATTATCGCTGGACTATTAATCCAGAGACCCAGATAACGTTCTGGGGACCTGGGATGGAATCCTGCCACGGCAGATGGTGGAATTTGAATTCAATAAAAAAAAATTCTGAAATTAAGTATCTAATGATTGTTGGAAAAACCCATCTGGTTCAGTAATGTCCTTTAGGGAAGGAAACTGCCATCCTTACCTGGTCTGGCCTACATGTGACTCCAGACCCACAGCAATGTGGTTGACTCTGAACTGCCCTCTGGGCAATTAGGGATGGGCAATAAATGCTGCCTGGTCAGCGACGCCCTCATCCCGTGAATGAATAAGGAATAGAAACTGACCATTCAGTCCCTCTGCACTGTGCAATATGGAGCATGCTGACACACCAACACCCCACCCACCCCTTCCCAAGAGTAACAGTTGGTTTGTACAGCCACCTACAGACTCACCCTGAGAATGAAAGAGAGTCATCTTTGTCAGTGAGGGACCATCAATGATGCTGTTGACTCTGCTGGTGTTAGGGCTACACACAAACCTTCTCCCAGCCTATCTCCCCTCCCTCCATCCCCATAACCAACTACTCTTTCCTCTACCATGCAGCACCTAGCTTTGCCCATAAATGGACCTACACTATCCACCTCCCCGACTCCCTGTGGGAGCGAGTTCCACATTCTCACCACTCTGTGGGGAAAGCAGTTTCTCAGGTTTGTTCCTCCTACATCAGGAAGCAATGTAAAGGAATATATCAGTCTTGTAGGGGCTTTGGTGCAGATTCACCAGAATGATAACTGGGGCTGAAAGGGTTAAGTATGAGGACAGGTTTCAGAGACTAAGTAGTTATTCCCTCTGGTGTAGAAGGTTGAATTGAGGTGTTTGAGATGATAGGATCAATAGAGAAACCATTTCCTTTAGAGAACCCCATTAAAATTGGAGCTTGGTCATTCAGGATCATTGTCAGGAAACACTTGCTCTCCAAAAAGGGAGTGAAAATCTGGAACCCTTCCATACCTTCCTATGCTGTCATTTCCATCTTAGTCCCTCCTTCAGCCAAAGTGGAGGAAATGCACTTTTTAAATTGACTCGTGGGGGTGTGTGAGTCACTCTCAAGTTCGTAATTTCCAAGTCAGGATGGTGAGTGGCTTGGAGGGGAACGTGCAGGGGATGATGTTCCCATGTATCTGCTGTCCTTGTCCTTCTAGATGGAAGTGGTCATGGGTTTGGAAGGTCAGGATGGTGAGGGGAACTTGCAGGGGGTGGTGTTCTCATGTATCTGCTGCCCTTGTTTTTGGCATTAGAGGTTCTGAACAAGAGTCATACCAGGCCCTAAACGGAGGAAGTGAATGTATAAAATGGATGCTGAGCAAGTGGGCAGCTTCATCCTGGATGGTGTTTGAGCTTGTTGGTTCTGGGTAAGCAGTGATCCGGGGTGCAGTGAGCTGTAGTTATCACTGCCCTGTGCAAGCTGTTGCTATATTGGCTCCTATATAAACTCTCCTGTTCTCCCTTTGCAGGTTCTTCATTATGTAGAAAAGCCAAGCACCTTTGTCAGTGACATCATTAATTGTGGAATATACCTCTTCACCCCAGATATTTTCCAGTACATTGGAGAAGTGTTCAAGAAAAACCAGCAGGATCTCTCCATGTGAGTACAGCAGATATATAAGGTGCTTGATCATCAGGCAGCAGCACCCAGGACATTAAGGTGCTCCCCTCAGTGCTCCTAACACAGGCTTCCCGTTATTTGGTGGCTGTCTTTCCATCTCCTAATCCTCCATTTCCTATTCGAACTCTCAGTTTGGAGATAGAGGGTTGTGTTCCAGCCCAGCACCAGAGATGTGAGGTCCTGGCATCATACCACACAGAGTTCAGTCATCATGCCTTTTTAAAAGAGTTTTCCAATTCACCTACTCTCCTATTCTTTTACCGTGTCCAATTGAATTTCAACCTTTCAAATATTTCTGCGATTGTCGTCCTTTCAGGCACACAATCCAGGCTGACGTAGCACTTTTGACCTGAGCTCCCCTTCCCTGGATTGCCTTGTGCTAAATGGGTTCAGCAACGTGACCACAACACAGGGCAGAGACCAGAGCTAGCTCCGACCTCTGGATCTTTGTGTTGGCAGTAGGAGGGATGTCACTTGTCTCTGATAGGAAATGAATGAAGATGCCACCCTGTCAGAATGGGGCTCAGTCAGTCGGTCCTGACCCAGCTCTTAAAGGGTAGAAACAACATTCCCCACTTGGCTGATCCCTCCCTTTAAATTATCACTCCTGCCTTCCTATTCCCCTGAATATCTGTGTACTGAAAGCATGGCTCAACTTTATTACAGCGGTCTTTCATTTCTCATCTCTTTCTCTCTCTTTCTCGGTTGTGTCTTCTTTCCTTTGCCTGCCCTACTCTCAGGTATCCTTTTGTTGGGTGAGTTTGGCTCTGGTAGTGTAATCTGCTCTGTAGGGCTTGTTAATCCTGGCACATTCCCATCCAGGCTCCAAGCCACAACCCCTCCTCCCCTAGAATACGTAACTCCAAGATCATTTTATTAAATATCATTAGCCAGCGATATATCTGAACAGTGGAGAAAGTTCAGGACTAAAGAATGGGTGAGGTGGGTGAGCAGGTACAATACACAATGGAGGCTGGAATGTTGACCCTGGTCTGGAGGATAATTGTGATGGAGTGGTCTGTCAGTTGTACATCATTCTGGTTTGACGGTAGCTGCAGACATTGTGTTCAGCCCTGGGCTTCTGTGGAGGGTGATCTCAGCCTTGGAGCAGGAGCAGCACAGAATGATCCCAGAGTTAACAGAAGTAAAGGACAAGAACAGGTTGCAGAAAGTGGGTCAGTGTTTTCTCGTGCACTGAAGTTTAAGGAGTGGACCTGGTTGAGGTGTTTGAATTATAAAGGGTTTTGATGGAGTTGCTCAGGAGAAGCTATGCCTCCTGGTGTGGGGAAGGGATTTGGAATCCAGGACGTTAACCTTGGTGCCAGGTGGTTCAGGGCTGAATTCCTTCCACAAATCTCGAATACGGAACCACAGTGAGGAAATGAAGATAGAGATTAGCCAAGGTCTAATCAAATGACAGACAATGGTCCAAGGGCTGAATGGTCTCTTGCTGCATCAGTGTACATCAGTCAGCAGTATTAGGGTGACCATGGTTAGTCCTTACCAGTAAATGTACTGTCAGCCCAGGAGGCAGGCTATTGTCCTCGAACATTTAATTGATTCTCTCCCTCCAGTGTCACAGTGCTGCCTGTCTCCTTCTTGTCTGAATCTGCTCTGGTTTCCTCGCTCTGTGTTTTTGTCTCTCTTTCATCTGCATGGCAGTTTTCCTTTTAAATATGGATATCTTTCAGACCAACGTTCAAATTAGGAGAAGGCCATTCAGCCCCTCAAGTCTGCTCCGTCCATCAGTAAGATCCTGGCTGATCTGACTGTAACCTCAAATTCACATTCTCACTATCCCCGATAACTCATCAACCCTCGCCCTAGTCTCTCCAGCTCTGCCTTAAAAATATTCACATTCTTCCATCATCTTCTCAGGAAGAGCATTCCAAAGACCTGTGACCCTCAGAGAAAGAACCTGTTGCTCCCTCTTTCTCTCACACTACTGTTTCTTTTAAAGTCTGTCTTTGGGCTTCTCTCCCTCCCCCTCCCTCTCTGTGCCTCTTTCCCTGCTTCACTTTCACATTCTCTTTCTCACCTGTACGTGACATACTGATACCTGTCCATATCCCATAGCCGTGCCTGGATGGGAAGGTGTTTAGAGCTGTAGCTGGTGCATGCTTTTCTGGCTGAGTGAAATGTTTCTGGTTTGGAATGTGATGTCTGACAGTGAAGAAAGCACAGACTGAAATCGGGAACAACAGGAATCAGAGATACAGTTAGCAAGGAGCTGGAATAGTAAAGTGATTGCAATAGAGGGTAGTGGCAATTAAATAAAGGATTGGTGTGTCTCACTGAGGCCTGGAGCTGAACTAAGCCCGGTGGGGGTGGGGTGGAGGAGAGGGTGAAGCACATTGGGGAAATTATGTCATGAGGGGAGAAGGGTTTTGTTGTGGTGGGGAGGGGTGGTGTCATGAAGGGAGGGAGTTGTGTCATGAAGGGAGGGGCTGTGCTTCAGTGGGGAAGAATCTGTGTCGTTGGGGGGGGGGTGAGCGGTGGGTGGGGGGGGGGGGGTAGTTGCTGAGTGTGTGAAGATTGTCGCTGTTTGGGGTGGAGGGGTGGGAGCTGCTGGAGGGGGGCTGGCATTGACGCAGTGAGTGCTGAGGGTAACGCAAACCTAACTGAGATATGGGTGAGTGTTCAGCTTCAGTCGGTGTTTAGTTCACTGCTCAGTTCCCAACTGCATCTTGACTTTTGAATGTGTGAGAAAATCTCTTTTTCCTCAGTGGTTAACACTGCTGCCTCACAGCACCAGGGACTCGGGTTCATTCCACCCGCGGGTGACTGTCTATCTGTTCGGAGTTTGCATTTCTCACTGTGTCTATGTGGGTTTCCTCTGGGTGCTCCAATTTCCTCCCACAGTCCAAAGATGTCCAGGTTAGGGTGGATTGGCCATGCTAAATTGCCCGTAGTGTCCAGGGATGTGCAGGCTGGTTGGGTTAGTCATGGGAAATGTAGGGTTACAGGGCTGGGTAGGGGGGGTGGGTCTGGTGGGAGGCTCATCAGGGGGTCGGTATGGAGTTGATGGGCCAAATGGCCTGCTTCCACACTGTAGGAATTCTATGATTGTCCCTTCGCTTAATCATTTTGCTCAGTCACATCAGATTACCTCAATGGATCGGAGTTCTGAAGCCAGAATTCCAGAGTTTTGGAGGTGAAAGTGCAATGGTTTCAGATTCTCAGCCAGTCAGTATGCCTACCTTCAGTGCAGTGACCAACAGCTCATCAAGCGGCATCTTACTGCCCAGAATCCTTGTCCTGGGCCAGAGATCAGGAGTTTAGATGGAGAAACCTCGCCCTGTTTTCCAACGCTGTGATGCCAGCCTCATGGATGAGGACCACATTCTCCAAAATTCTTTTCCCTGGCTCCACATCCAAATCTCAACTTGGAAGCAGATGGTCAATGAGGGAGGGGCATCAACCGTATCCATGTCCAATCACAAATCTGTATAACTGGTGTCTCTGTGTCCCCTGAGTGGGGCATATCTGACACAAGGAGAGGGAGTGAACGGGCTATCAGTATCTGATAACTTCATCCCACAGAGAGGAGAACACAAATGGCTGGCAGCGAGCTGAGGTTATTCGCCTGGAACAAGATATCTTCACCACCATGGCTGGCCGTGGCTTCCTCTACATTTACAAAACCGACGGCTTCTGGAGTCAGATCAAGTCAGCAGGGTGAGTGTGAACATGGCGCGAGACAGTCTGTCCATACAGAGGCACAAAGGGGTGGGGTGATTAACGGAGACACTCACAGAGGGAAGGGTCATCGAGGGGCACCGGGTACCAAGGCATGGACTAGAGAGTTCATGGGGACACAGGTAGAGACACTGGTACACCCGAAAGAACAAGCAGCCTGGAGAGACAGGAAAAGCATGAATTCAGAGACTAAGTGAATGAGTACCTGACAGAATGGAAGTAGAGATGGAGAGAAAGGTAAACTGAGGGAAGTCCCACTTTGGGCTCAATTTGTTAATCTTAACCAGAGCATCAGTTTGATGTACAGTTTGTCTCAATGTTCTGAGATTGGCTTGGTAAAATCCATTCTGAGCTCCAGATCCTGGTCAAAGCTGGTTACAATCACTGGATATCGGTCTTTTTGCTAGAGTTCAGACAAATGAGGGGGATCTCATAGAGACTTATAAAATTCGAACAGGACTGGACAGGGTAGATGCAGGGAGGATGTTCCCGATGGTGGGTGTGTCCAGAACCAGGGGTCACAGTATGAAGATTCGGGGTAGACCATTTAGGACGGAGATGAGGAGACATTTCTTCACCCAAAGAGTGGTGAGCCTGTGGGATTCGTTACCACAGGAAGTAGTTGATGCCAAAATATTGAATGTATTCAAGAGGCAGCTAGATACAGCACTTGGGGAGAATGGGATCAAAGGTTATGGGGAGAAAGCAGGATTAGGCGGTTGAGTTGGACAATCAGCCATGATCGTGAAGAATGGAAGAGCAGGCTCGAAGGGCCGAATGGCGTCCTCCTGCTCCTATCTTCTATGTTTCTATGACACAGGATCATTAAGAAAGGACAACCTTATAGAGCCCAGAAACAGGCCCTTTGGCCTATTATGTTAATGTCAACCAACAAACACTAAACTACACTAATCTCATTTACTTGGTCCATAGTCTACAATGCCCAGGCATCTTAAGTGCTGGTCGACATGCTTCTTAAATGTTGTGAGAGTACAGCAAACGTTTTGTTAACTGGCACCTATGGGGCCAGGAGTGTGCTGGATTTTCAGATATTCTAGTTATCAAGAGATCCACGTAATCAATGTAAAACCACACAGAGTAACAGAGATGTAATACAGAGGACATACGCGTCACTGTTATACTTTATATACAGCGTTGATCACTTAAAGAATAATGCAACTTTGCCCTAAATAAAACTTACCAGCAGAGACCCTTCTCACTTGCATCCTCAACTGACTACTCGGATATCGCAGAGATCGCTAGCACATGGTAAATTTCTGGTATTTGAGGTATATAATTTTTGCCAGTTTATCGTGGATCCTTGTTCATGAGGTCCCAGTTAAAACAAACTTGGCTGGACCTTCCTCCTCCAGTGTCTCAAACAGCACCTTCCATATTTCTACCACCCTCTGGGTGAAGACATTTTTCCTCAAACCTCCACTAAACTGCTTACTCCCCACATTAAACAGATGCTGTCAGGCCTTAGACATGTCTGCCATGGGAAAAAGATTCTCACAATCTACTCCGTGTGTGCCTCTCATAATTTTGTATATCTCAATCAGGTTCCCCCGTCAGCCTCCTCTGCTCCAGGGAAAACAAGCCCAGCCTATCTTGTCTCTCCCCATAACTGAGACTCTCCATCCCAGACAAAGTCCTCTGCATCCTCTCCAGTGCATTCACATCCTTCCAATAGTATGGTGACCAGAACTGCTCACATTTTTTTCCATCTGTGGCTTAACCAATGTTTTATAAAGATGTAACAAGATATTCCACACCCTGGCTAATGAGGGAGAGCATCTTATATGCCTTCCTCACCACCATGTCTGCTTGTGCTGACCCCTTCAGGGATCTACGGACTTGTACACCAAGGTCCCTTTGTTCCTCAGTACTGCCGAGGAATTATCATTCATTGTGTATATCCTTCCTTATTAGACCTCTCAAAATGCATCACCTCACATTTATCAGGATTAAATTCCATCTGCCATTGCTCTGCCCAATTTACCAGCCGATGAATATCAGACTGTAGCCTGAGACCATCCTCTTCATTACATCAGCACAGCTCAACAACACCCACCAATTTTCATGTCAACTGCAAACTTCCTAATTAAACCATTACATCCAAGTTGTTAGTGTACATAAAAATCAGCAAGGGTCCCATCCCTGTGGTACATTACTGATCACAGGCCTCCAATCACAAAAATCATTCTTTCAACATTACCCTTTGCCTCCTAGTTGTAAGCCAGTTTGGATCCAATTTAAGATAATGAGGTGTAGAGCTGAATGAACACAGCAGGCCAAGCAGCATCAGAGGAGCAGGAAGGCTGACGTTTCGGGCCTAGACCCTTCTTCAGAAAATTCCTACTATCTTTGGATCCAATTTGCCACCTTGCCTTGGATCCCATGTGGACCTTTTGGACCAGCCTTCCATGTGGGACCTTATCAAAGGCCTTACTGAGGTCCATGTAAACCACATCAACTACACCACCCTCACCAATATATTTAATCACCTTTTCAAAAAGCTGAATTAAATTAGTCAGACAGGATCTCCCTCTAACAAATCCGTGCTGACTATCCCTTATCCATCCCTACCTTTCCAAGTGTTGATTAATCCTGTCCCTCGGAAGTTTTATCGATAGTTTCCCTACCGCTGATGTCAGACTAACTGCTCTGTAATTCCCTGGCCTATCCCTGCTGTCCTTCTTGAACAAAGGAACCACATTAACCATCCTCCAGTCATCTGGCACTTCACCTGTGGTCAGGGTCAGTGAAGTATTAAATATCTCTGCCAGGGCCCCAGTAATTTCCTCCCTAACCTCCTATAGCAGTTCAGGATACATCTCATCAGACCCTGGGGATTTATGCACCTTCGTACCCTCTAAAACATCTAATATCTTGAAATCCCCAGCTACAATGTCTTTCTCTATGAATACAGATTACCCAGTTACCTGAGACGCACTGCTAAGAAAATACATACTTTGTTGAAGCTTTTCATCTTGCACTCATAGGACATTTCGCAAGAATACCAATTCAAAGGGAAGACCAACATTTATATTGCGTAAGGGGAAAGTGTTGATTGGTAGAGGCATTGCCATGGAGATTGTCAGTTAAAAGCCAGATGTTGTTTAAATTTTAAACCAGACAAGTTTACTCATTCGTTCAGGTCATTGCTCTGAGAATTGACCCCCAAACTGTCTATTTTTGCTGAGTTGAAATGGGCGCAATGTGTGGGCATGGTCTTTCTGTCTGAACAGGGTCCTGTGTATTAATGTATGTAGCATCCTGTACATATTAGTGTGGTTCACTGCATATATTGGAAGCTACACGCTGCTACAATTAGTAGTATTGCATAATAAAAATCAACCAAAGAACTATAGATGCTGGGAATATGGTAAATGAATTTCACTGCCAATGTGGTGCCAAATGTCCCAAAGACTGGTGGAAAGTATCAAACAACAAGTCCCTCCAGCTGTTCCCAGCTAGCAAGTTACTGACCGTACCCAATTACCGCACCCATACTTGCAAACTCCCAACCCATTGTTCAACATTCAATGTGCTTCTCAAATTGGACAATGTTTGCTGGATAATCTTGAATATATGAGGAATTATAATGACAATCAATTTAGGATCATCAGTCAGAGTCACAATATAATGCATATACTTGAAGCTACTTGTCTTAGCATAGAGGACCCTGTTCAGAGAGAAAGACCATGTACTCATGCTGCAGGTTTTCTAACTCATCAAACTAGGGACAGCCATTTCTCAGGGCAATAACCTGAATAAACAAGAATCAATCTGAGATAACAAGGTGTAGAGCTGGATGAACACAGCAGGCCAAGCAGCATCAGAGGAGCAGAAAAGCTGACGTTTCGGGTCTAGACCCTTCTTCAGAAATGGGGATCTTCAGAAGGGTCTAGACCTGAAACGTCATCTTTCCTGCTCCTATGATGCTGCTTGGCCTGCTGTGTTCATCCAGCTCTACACCTTGTTGTCTCAGATTCTCCAGCATTGGCAGTTCCTACTATCTCTGAAATAAGAGTCAATCTGCCTGGTTTAAAATTTAAATTTTAAACGAAGTCTGGCACTTAACTGTCAATCAAAATTAATGGATGCCTTCTCCATTCTCCATGCAACATCTCCCCATCAAAGTTCATTTGCCAACCAATCAGCACTCTGCTCTCATCCAGTATAAATATTGGCTTTCCCCTTCAATTAGTATTTCCTGTGAATTGTCTTGATGAGGGCAAGATAGAAAGTTTGGACCAAAGTGAATGTTGCTGAAAAAGAACAGTGTTCTGTATGACTGGTGATTAGTGCTCCCATGTTCCCCAATACTATACATATAGGAATTTGAGCAGGGATGACTTGGGGCTGGCTGGGAGAAACCCTCACCCCCCCAGTGTGAGGCAGCCCCCTCCTCCAAGATTAATTCTAACTCTTTGTCACTCTGCAGGTCTGCCATCTATGCCAACCGACTGTACCTTAACCAATACCAGAAAACCCACCCTGATCGGCTGGCAAAGGATGGACCAGATGGTCCTAGAATCCTTGGTATGTGACTAAACAACAACACTGCCTTTACATAGAACCACTACTAGTGTAAAGTAACCCAAAGTGCTTCACAGGAAAGTGTCAAAGAATGTTTAACACCAAGCAGTTAAAGAAATATTAGGACAGGTGACTAAGAGTTTGACCAGCAGGTTTTTATGGAGGATGTTAAAGGTGGAAAGCAAGATGGAGAGGTTTAGGGATTAGGGACTAGCTACAAGCCTAGTGCTCAATAGTAGAGTGATTCATATTCGTAACAGGCAAGAAGGCAGAATCAGAGGATTGCAGAAGTCACAGAGGGTGGTAAGGCTGGAGGAGGTGACAGAGATAAGGGGCTTGAGGATGGCACTGAGGTAGGGAGTGTTGTGGGAGTTGGAGGAAATTACAGAGATAGGAAGGGGAGGGTTCAGGGGAGGTTACAGGGGTGGGGAAGTTTGCAGAAGGTTAGGTAGGAGTGTTATAGAGACTGGAAGAGAATGCAGAGATAGAGATTGGTTTAGGGCTGGAGCAGGTTACAGACCTGGGGAGGGTGGTGAGGTTGAAGGAGGTTACGGAGAGAGGGAGGGTGGTGAGGGTGGAGATAAGGAGGGCTATAGGAGCTGGAGGAGGTTCCAGAGGTGGGGAGGAGTATAATGTCAGGAGGCACACTGTTAGCATTACTCTGCATCACAAATCAGCCATCCGGCCAACTGAGCTAACTGACCCCCTAGCAGGAGGTAGGGAAGGCAAATGGAATGTCCTTTATTTCAAAGGGAATCGGGATGGTGTTACAATAACTGCAAGGCACTAGTCAGACCACAGCTGGAATACTGTGAACAGTTTTGGGCCCCTTATCCAAGGAAAGAGGCAGTGCAGAGAAGGTTCACTCGGCTGATAGCAGGTGTGGAGGGACTGTCTAATCAGGAGACCTTGAGTACTCATTGGAATTTAGAAGGATGGGAGGTGATCTAATTGAAAGAGACAAATTCAAAGGGGCCTTGACAGGGGAGACATGGAAGGATTCTCTCCCCTTGTGGGAAAGTCTAAGACCAGGGGGCATCATCTCAGAGTAAGGGGTCACACATTTAAGACAGAGATGAGGAGGAATTTCTTCAGTGATGAGCTTGTGTAATTCTTTACCACAGAGGGCTGTCAAGGCTGGGCCATTAAATATATTCAAGGTTGAGATAGATTTTTAATTAGTAAGCGAATCAATGGTTATGATAAAGGTAGGAAAATGGAGCTGAGGATTATCAGATCAGCCATGATCTCATTGGATGGTGCAAACTCAATAGGCTGAATGGCCTACTTCTGCTCCAGAGTCTTATAAACAAATCAGTACCACGAGGTAGCAGAGCTCAGAGAGAGTGGGGGTGGGCTTCAGAATTTTGACTCTTCAAACATAACGATGCCTCTGGTGTTTTTGTTAACAGGTAATGTTTATATCCATCCGACAGCGCACATCGATCCCACAGCTGTGGTGAGTTGCCCATTGAAAGTTCATAGATTTGTTCAGTCCCGCAGCACTGAATGAGGCCATTCTGGTCTCTGAAGTCTCTGTTGGCTCTTTGAAACATATAACATGTTGAACTGAACACCCTCCTGCCCTGAAATTTTTTCTCTTCAACTATTTCTCTGATTCCCTGTTGAATGTTATTCATGGATCAGGCAGCATGTTCAGATCAAGGGAACTGACAGAGGATCAAGTATTTACGTGTCCCCTCTGATTACTGATCCTGCTATCATTGTCTGTCCATGGCCTGTGACACTAAGGTGAATAATAGAGCAAAGTTTGCAGCTGACTCTGAAAGTTTGCAGAGGGATCTAGATAGTTTAAGTGAGTTGGCGATGGTCTGGCAGATGAAGGACAATGTTGATAAATGTAAAGTCATCCATTTTGGTAGGAGTAACAGTAAAAAGGGACTATTATTTGAATGGTAAAAAATTGCAGCATCCTGCTGTAAAGAGGGACCGGGGTGTCTTTGTGCATGAATAACAGATGGTTGGTTTGCAGGTGCAGCAGGTAATTAAGGCAGCAAATGGAACTTTGTCCTTCATTGCAAGAGGGATGGGGTTTAAAAACAGGGAGGTTATGTTGCAGCTGCATAGGGGCCTGGTGAGGCCACATCCGGAATACTGTGTATAATTTTGGTCTCCTTACTTGAGAAAGGATGCACTGGCACTGGAGGGGGTGCAGAGGAGGTTCACCAGGTGGGTTCCAGAGTTAAGAGGCTTTGCTTATGAGGAGAGATTGAGTAGACTGGGAGTGTACTCACTGGAATTTAGAAAAATGATGGGGGGGATCTTATAGAAACATATAACATTATGAAGGGAATAGATAAGACAGAAGCAGGGAGGTTGTTTCTACTGGCAAGTGAAACTAGAACTGGGGGGCGTAGCCCCAAAATGAGGGGAAGCAGATTTAGGACTGAATTGAACAGGGACTTCTTCAGCCAAAGGGTTGTGAATCTGTGGAATTCCCTGCCCAGTGAAACAGTTGAGGTTACCTTGTTGGATGGTTTTAAAGCTAAGATAGGTAAATTTTTGAATAATAAAGGAATTAGAGGTTATGGTGAGAGAGTGGGTAAGTGGAGCTGAGGCCATGAAAAGATCAGCCATGATTTTATTGAATGGTGGAGCAGGCTCAAAGGGCCAGATGGCCTACTCCTGCTCCCGTTTCTTATGTTGTCTTTGTGCTGACGTCTCCACGGTTTCTCTGTTTATCCTCAGCTAGGTCCAAATGTCACCATCAGTATGGGAGTGACAATCGGAGCGGGTGTTCGAGTCAGGGAGTCCATCATCTTACATGGAGCCACGCTGCAGGTAGAACAGAGCTCCCTCTGCTGCAAATCTTAGACACAAATTGATGGGAGCTATGAGAGGAAGTAAAATGACAGGAGTTGAAGGTCAGTAAGTACAGTGTTTAAAATGACAGCGTGGAGAAGGAAGGGTGAGGGAGAACCTGGATCTTGTGGACTATCTGTTGGGGAAATCAGGTGATGTCAACTGTGGGGGCCTCAAGTTTTCAAATGAATTATAAGAATCTCCACGCACTGCCCCCATCTCACACTCCCCAGGACAGAGACAGCACAGGGTTAGATACAGTGAAGCTCCCTGTAGACTGTTGGATTTGGTTAATATTGTGTCTAATACAGTATCTTCAGAGTAATTAGAGAAAAGGACTCACTGTCTGGTCAGTACATACAAGTGGGAGCTGATTGGGCAGGGCTGAGACACCTCAAATTGGGCACAGGGTGCAGAGGCTGAGAGATCAGATGTGTAAAAACCACTTGGAGCAAGGGGTCTTGCAGATGTTGCGTGGGGTCGAGCAGAGCGGAGAGTCTGAGTGACCTTATTGCCTGTTCTCCAGGACCACAGCTGTGTGCTGAACTGTATCGTGGGTTGGGACAGCTCCATTGGCAAATGGTCAAGAGTTGAAGGAACCCCAAGTGACCCCAACCCCAATGACCCACATGCCAAGATTGACAGCGAAACGCTGTTCAGCGATGGGAAACTCAATCCTTCAATAACGATACTTGGTAAGAACAGATATTGAGAGACTGGTGTCTGTGTCTCACAAGCAGCTGAATGGGAAAACCTTGTGCACCATTCTTACTGACCCTCTGATGGTGCAGCGCTCTGTCGGGAATGTTACCGTATTTTGTGAACCCAGAGCTCTGGGTTGGGATCGGGATTGGGATCCAGTATGCACTTGCTGCATGATCGGTGTGTTACTGCCTGCGGCTTGGTTCACACTGCTGTGTGTTGCCTGACGTGCTGATGTTTTTTTCTCTGCAGGGTGTAATGTCAGTATTCCCTCCGAGGTGATCATCCTGAACTCCATTGTCCTGCCTCACAAGGAGCTGAATCGTAGCTTCAAGAACCAGATTATTCTATAGCCAGAGCTCAGCTGATTACTCAGGCCGTGAGCAAACAGTAACTGTTAGTCTCAGTAGATACTATCTGACTTGTGCCTACAACATCGGACGTACATGCACTGTACTGATTTCAGCCTTGTTACTTTACAGACCTGTAGAAACCTACTCAGCTATTCTTCAATTACAGAAACCGGAATTGGCTCTAAATCCAATCAAGCCCAAGCACCCAGTCCTGTGTCCTCTTCCCCCCCTCCCCCATCACTGACTCTACCCACCCATTTAATCCCCCTCCACAGCCCCGTCTACACTCTCTTCCTTCCCCCAGTGCTGACCCCTCTCCATTCCCCCAAATGTATCGATCTGTGTTGAGCTCCTTGAGCCTGGTATCTCCCACTGTTTGTAGTCACCCTTCAGTACTCTGCAGTTTACAGGCTTTGTTCGGGAGTGTAGCTCACTGTACCGTGGAGTTTCTCAGATCCTGCTTCAAGTTTATTTCCTCACTCTGTCCAGTTTCAACGAGTTTTGTTCAAACTCAGGTGCCACCATTATTGAATCTTCCACTGTGTGAGGGAGATAAAACAGGACGAAATTGATGGGGAAGTTTTGTAGGGGGGTGCTGTTGAATTAGTGAATAAAGAGAATGACGCACTGTGCTTTTTCAGAGTAGTTTACAAAGTGACCTCTTTTACCGACCCTCCACCAAACACAAAACCATGGAAACAGTCAGGGTAATGGTAATGGGGTAGGGGACCCATGTTTGTGAAATCACAGAGAGCAAGCCTCTGCTCAGAGGTTGGTTGGGGGTGGGGGGGGGGGGGGTGGGGGCGCGGGGGGGAAGTGGGGGAAAGGATCAGGCCCACTCTCTTTGCTGTGTGTTATAGGTTTGAAAAATCTGACTCCAAACCTCAGGCTAATTCTAGTACGCACTACCCTGTCTACCACTGTCCCACTGCACCTTCACCATATGTACAGCTGCAGTAGACAGCACAGAACTAGATACATGTCATAATCAGTCTCCCTCAGCCCCACTGCTCCTAAATTCAGAGATGAGCATCCACTGGACTGGAAGCTGTGATTGGGTCTTAGCTCCTGTACTCTGGCATCTTCTGCTAATCATGTTCAAATAACAGCAACTCCACATGGTAGATGGACTCTAACCAGCAAGCTCAAAGCCTGGTCCTAAAGTAAGGAGCTAATCATGTTCAAAAGTGGGAGGTTTCATTTTCTGTTCATTGAGTCACTTTCCAGCAACAGGAATGCTGCTGGTTTCCAAAAGGAATTGGCGGAGGTGGGGTACTTGAAGGTGGAGAGTGTCTTTGTTGGGAGTTTGAAATCTGCTGCGTGGCAGTGATAGGGGTAGCAGTGGTGGGAGTTGGTTAGCTCATTTAGCTGGTCAGCTGGTTTACAGTGCTGAGTGCCACAACAGCCTGGGTCAATTGGCTGAGGCTACCACGAAGGACACTCCTTCTCAACCTTTCCCTTCACTTCAGACGTGGTGACCCTTAGGTTAAACCACCATCAGTCTCCTACCACAACTCAGCTCAGCCCTATCTGTAGTCTTCTTGGACTATGCTGACTTAAGCTTAAGTGGTAGGAAATTCAGTGGAAACTCAGACAGCAAGGAGAAGATTTAGAGAGCCTAGGAAAGAGCAAGCAAATGAAACTAAACTTTAAGTCAAGTAGGAAATTTGGGCCTTGCTGGCTGGACCATAGAATCAGCTGTACAACTCAGAAATAGACCCTTCGACAGATGAGATATCCTATATAAATCCAGTCCCATTTGTCAGCATTTGGCCATATCTCTCTAACCCCTTCATGTACCCATCCAGATGCCTTTTAAATGTTGTAATTGTACCAGCCTCCACCACTTCCTCTGGCAGCTCATTCCATCCACACACCACCCTCTGAAAAAGTTACCCCTCAGGTCCCCTTTAAATCTTTCCCCTCTCACTGTAAACCTATCCCCTCTAGTTTTGGACTCCCAAACCCTGGGGAAAAGACCTTTCTTTTTACCCAATCCACACATGATTTTATAAATCTCTATAAGGTGACCCCTCAGCCTCCAACACTCCAGGGAAAATAGCCCCAACCTATCAAGAGATAGTAGGAACTGCTGATGCTGAAGAATCTGAGATAACAAAGTGTAGAGCTGGATGAACACATGGATTGGGATGAACACATGGATTGCTGGGCAATAGGAACCCTGCAGCCCAATGGTATCAATGTGGACCTCAAGCTTCAAAATCTCCCCTCACCCTACCGCATCCCAAAATCAGCCCAGCTTGTCCCCGCCTCCCTAACCTGTCCTTCCTCCCACCTCAAGCCCCACCCCCATCTCCTACCTACTAACCTCATCCCGCCCCCTTGACCTGTCTGTCCTCCCTGGACCGACCTATCCCCTCCCTAACTCCCCACCTACACTCACCTTTGCTGGCTCCACCCCTGCCTCGGACCTGTCTGTCTCCTCTCCACCTTCTATCTGCCTCCCCCTCTCTCCCTATTTATTTCAGAACCCCCTTCCCCTCCCCCATTTCTGGGGAAGGGTCTAGGCCCAAAAATGTCAGCTTTCCTGCTCGGCCTGCTGTGTTCATCCAGCTCTACACCTTGTTATCCCAACCTATCCAGCCTCTCCCTATAACTCAAACCCTGGCAACATCCTTGTAAATCTTTTCTGAACCCTTTCTAGTATCACAACATCCTTCCTACAGCAAGGAGACCAGAATTGCATGCAATACTCCAAAAGTGGCCAAACCAATGTCCTGTACAGCTGCAAAATAACCTTCCAACTCATATATTCAAATGCACTGACCAATAAAAGGCAAGCATACCAGACACCCACCTTCACTATCCTGTCTACCTGCACTTTGCCCATCAAGGGCAAATAGGATGGGTGAGTGCTTCACTCATGTCTGTCCTCACTGTTTAAAGATAGAAATAGGAGGCGGCCATTCAGCTCAAGAGAGTGTGTTCCATCATTGAACAATGTTAGGGTGCGATACCCTAACCCTATCGCAGGGTGCAGCCTGGTTTATGCCACTAAAACTCCAGTACAGAACCACACCAAAATCAGATTTTAAACGTTGGTCACTGATGGTTCAAGTTTAATTCACCACGCTATACTACAGGAAAGGCAACTTGAAAAAGGAGACAGGCAAATCATTTATCAATGCTAACATTTTATTTCACACTGTTTGGCAGAGTCTCAATAAACTGTTACTCCCAGACTTCTCCATTTACATTTACTCATTGGGTCAATTAGAAAACACTAGGTTTAGGTAAGGAGTCACCTTGCACCCCCACCTTGGCCGAGGGTTGGGGGGGCTGGGGTGTCTGATCACCTGCCAGCTCCTCCCAAAGCAATGGGCATTACTGACTCGACGTGGGGTGGGGGTGGTTGTGGAGGAGGGGAGGCATTGCGAACGTTCAGTGAAGATTCTGACAAGCTTCTCACTGGCTTCTGTTTTAGCTCAGTGTTGGTGATGGGAATATCTTCCCAGAGCTACAAGAACACAAAAACAGGAAAGACATTAGTGACATCCTCACCTCCTACACAGCCCCCAGTCTCCTCAGCAGGTACTCACATTGCTAGGATCCCAGGGGGCATCCAGCAACCAGGGGATCGATTCACCATCTCAGCTGCTTCAGGGGAAGACAACGGTTTAAACAAGTGCCCTGATAAAGGGGAAGAAGAGTTAGAGATGGAAATAATTGCCCCAGAGGGAGGGCGGGGTAGGACAGACAGACAGACACACAGCACCCTACACTGAGGGAGCAATGGCAGGACTCTACTGGGCACAAATCGCTCAACTGAGGTACAGAGAGAATGAAAGAAACTAAATGCGTATGTGCCAAAGGAGCCTGTCACTGTCAGAGGCCAATAATAGAATGAAGTGTGGAAGCAGGCCATTTGGCCCATCAAATCCACACTGACCCCCCAAAAAGCATCCCACCCAGACCCATGCCTGTATCCCTGCATTTCCCATGGCTAATCCACCTAACCTGCACATCTTTGGACCATGAGAGGAAACCAGAGCACCTGGAGGAAACCCACACAGACTGAGAATGTGCAAACACCACACAGACAGTTGCGAGGCTGGAATTGAACCCTGGTGCTGTGAGGCAGCAGTACTAAACACTGAGCCACCATGCCACCCCAATCCTTAAGGAGAAAGCTGACCTCAGGACTGGTCTGCCCTCTCACAGGAGTACATAATGGAGCCCATGACATCTTTTCAAGGGTAGTCTGACATTATGAGCAATATTTACCCCAAGACCATACCTAACAATATTGCTGCTGGTGGGCTCTTGCTGTGCACAAATTGGCTGGGTTTCCTCTAACTGCACAAGTTTAAATTACATTTCTAAAAGCTCCATGAGTTGTTTCCAGCTTTCACTGGGTAGGCCAGTACCTGTTACCCATCCCTAATGGCCCCTGAACCAACTAGCGTCATTTCAGAGGGCAGCTCAGAGTCAACCACATTGCTGTGGGTTTGGAGTCACATGTAGGCCAGACCAGGTAAGGATGGCAGTTTCCTTCCCTGAAGGACATTAGTGAACCAGATGGGTTTTAGTCCAAGCTGTTCAGAATTATCATCTATGGATCAGGAGAGAATTGAACCCTGACGTCCTGTCTCTAAGACAAAGACACTGTCATTTTACTGCAAGAGCTCTCATTACACAACAATTGATGGTAGTTTCAGTCACCACTGATGTCAGTTTTCTATTCCACATTAAATTGTATTTAACTTCCACCGGCTGTTGCGAACCCATGACCCAGAGTATTAGCCTGGCCCCTAGAACACTTGTCCAGTGACCTTAGCATGACCATTTCTGCTGGCAGTGAGGGACTGTCTCTGGGGTAAAGCCACGTCATGGATACAAGGCTGTCATGTTGGCTACATTGACAGCTGATGTTGCCCAATCTCAGGGGTGCCTGGTTCAGTTATAAGGAACCACCAGGCAGCAGCTAATTGAAGCAGGATGGATGGATGGATGGACAGACAGACAGACTCCCCACAAACTGTTCTGAATGTTAGCATGTACTGATTGGTAAAGATATTGCCGGAAGCTAGCCCTTTCCATCAGATCAGCTCCATGTTGGACATCTTGGTGATTCTGATGAGGTTTCAATCCTGCTCAAATCACCCAGTGAAGTTCTTTGAACAGAGCCCTGTGTTCCCTACACATTTCTGTCCTCTCCCACCCTCTCTGCCTTCAGCACTGCCTCCTTCCTCTGCCAATCTATTGTGTGGGCTAGAGATATACAGTCCTGTTCTTCCTCACACAGGGCCGAGGCCTAATACCAAACATTTCCACCGTAATAAACAAAACCACATTCTCACCAGTTAAGATATGAGCTGGTTCAGTGTTGCTGGGTCCTACCGGCACCATCTGGCTCCAGTAATCAGAGGGCAGTGATAGAAGCTGTTCCACCACCTGAGGAAGAGAACATTAGCTAGCAGCAACAGCTGACTACGAGATGTACTGCAGAAAGTATTCAAGACACCTCTGACAGCACCTTCCCCTCTCAAAATGAAAGGTGTGAACAAGATGATAGAATCCCTACAGTGTGGAAACAGGCACTTCGGCCCAACAAGTCCACACCAACCCTCTGAGTATCCCACTCAGACCCATCCCTGAACACTACAGGCAATTTAACATGGCCAATCCACCTACCCTGCACATCTTTAGACTGTGGGAGGAAACCCACAGGGAGAAAGTGCAAACTCCACACAGACAGTTGCCCGAGGGTGTAACTGAACCCGGGTTCCTAGCGTTGTGAGGCAGCAGTGCTAACCACTGAGCCACCATGCCGCCCTATAAATGCTGCTGCAATTTCTGATAACCATCCTCACTGTCCGCGATACTGCCTATTTTAGTGACATTTGCAAACTTCCTAATCATGCCTTGTACATTCTCATCTGAGTCACTGATATAAATAACGAACAGTAATGGGCACAGCACCAACCTAAGAGGCACACCACTAGTGACAGGCCTCCAGCCCAATAAGCATTCTTCCACTATTACTCTCTGCTTCGGACCATCAAGCCAATTGTGATTCCAATTTGCCAGGTCTCCCTGGATTCGATGCGATCTAACGTGCCAGAGCAGTGTACCACGTGGAACCTTATCAAAGGCCTCACTGAAATCCATATAGACTGTCTACCGCCCTGCCCTCATTAACCTTCCTGGTCACTTCATCAATGAACTCTAACAAATTTGTGAGGCATGATCTCCCACACACGAAGCTATGCTAACTAGTCCATATCAAACCCTGTCTTTCCAAATGCATGTTTATCTTATTCTTCAGAATCTTCTCACAACAGGCTTGCTGTTCTACATTTCTCAGGTTTCTCTTTGCAGCCCTTCTTGACTAAGGGCACAACATTCGCTACCCTCCAGTCTTCTGGGACCTCACCTGTGGCTAACAATAATGCAACTAGGAAAGAAACAAGAAACCCCCCCACTTCACTCTCCCCATCAGACACTTACAGGACAGTGAGTGCCAGGTGAAACACAGAGCAAAGCCCACTCTGCTCTTTCAAAAGAGAAAAATAAAGCTGTGTTGATTTTGAACAAAAATAAAGACCCTATTTTTATGGGGGGGGGGGGGGGGGGAAAAGAAAAAAAATGTTTATCTTATTCTTCAGAGAAAAAAAAAAAAAAAAAAAAAGCTTGGACTCTCCCCAGTAACCTCTTTTGGGCATGAACCACAAGGAGTCAAAATAAAAATAGACTCCAGCAAAATCAAAGAAAAAAAACAAAAACTAAATAAGTAAATCCCCTGTGCTCTGTCAATGAACACTTCTGGTCTTGGGGCAACAATGGTTTTAAATCTAGATGAAGTTCCCCTGCTCATTACAACTAAAGATAAAATTCCCCTCACACCAATCCCCACCAAGCACATCAGAGACAGGGACAATATGGGGCTAAAATAAAAAAAACCCTTGACTTTTCCATGACAGCACCTTCCAAACCCAAGACCACCACCATCTCAGATGGTGGTGTACCAACATTGAGGAAAACCTTATACTGCAACCTTCCTGAAAGTGGCCCTGCCAGTCAGTAAGGTGGTAAAGGTGGCATATGGCATGCTTGCCTTTATTGGTCAGGGAATTGGAGCACAAGAGTCAGGATGCCATGTTGCAGCTTCGTAAGACTTTGGTTCAGCCACACTTAGAGTACTGCGTTTAATTCCGGTCGCCAAATTACAGGAAGGATGTGGAGGCTTTGGAGAGGATGCAGAAGAGGTTTACCAGGATGTTGCCTGGATTAGAGGGTATGAGCTATAAGGAGAGGCTAGAAAAACTCGGGTTGTTTTCTTTTTCCCTCTGGAGCAGCGGAGGCTGAGGGGAGACTTGATAAAAGTCTAAAATTTTGAGATGCATAGATAGGTTTGACACTCAATATTCAACCCCAACCCCACCCCCACCCCCACCCCCACCCCACTAGTCTAAAACTAGTGGTCATGCATTTAAGGTGAGAGCAGGAAGTTGAAAAGGAGATGAGAGGGGCAGGTACTTTTTAAAAACCAAGCAGTAGGAGTGTGGAACGCACTGCCAGGGGTGGTGATGGTGGGATGCAGATACGATAGGGGCATTTAAAGGACTTTTAGATAAGCACGTGAATATGCAAAAGCAGAAGGGATTAGCTTCATTTAGTGTCATGTTTGTCACAACATCACGGGCCAAAGGGCCCGTTCCTGTGCTGTACTGTTCTGTGTTCTTTTCGGGGTGATGTAGATGGGCTGGTCAGCAACAGATGGAATTTAATAGTGAAAAGTGAGGCAATGCATTTTTGGGAGAACCGACAAGGCACCGGAATACACGTCAACTGGTAGAACCCTCGGAAATAGAAGATCAAGGGAGCTTGGGTGAGACTGTCCATAGATCCTTGAAGGCAGTAGGACAGGTAGACAAGGTTAAGGTGACATATGGGACATTTGCCTTTATTAGTCAAAGCATTGAAAACAAGAGCAAGGAGAAACTTTTCCCCTTGGTAGAGGGGTCAATAACCGGGGACCACAGCTTCAAAGGAAGTGATTTCAGAACTTCCATCCACCCCCTCACCAGATGGTGGTCTGACTCTGGAAATGTCTGCCTGAAATAACAGTGGAAGAAGGAAGCCTCTAGACTCAGGCCCTGAATTTCAGAGGAGATTCACTGGGATGGAAGGCTCGGTTCTGAGGAGAGACTGGATAAACTGGGTTTGTTTTCCTTGGAGCAGTGGAGCCTGAGTGGGAGGGGATGTAACTGTGGGATACACAATTATGAGAGGCACAGGCTAGATTGTAAGAACCTTCTCTCCTCCCACCCACACCCCCCACCCCAAGGCAATTGCGTCTAAAGAACAGAGGGCTCAAGTTTAAGGTGAGGTGCAAGTGGTTTAGAGGAGGTTTGAAGAAATAAGAAGTTATTTCCCCCCAGAAGGTGGTAGAAATATGGAACGTGTTGCCTGAGGGGCTGGTGGGGGCAGGTACTCTCAACATTTAAGCAGCATCTGGATGAGCCCTTAAAATGCCAGGGTGGATTTGGCTATGGACCAAGCGCAGGGAAATGGGATTAGCGTCAGCTAGTGTTTGTTGGTCAGTATTGACATGATGGGCTGAAGGGCCTGTTTCTATGCTGTATGACTGATTTCTTTTTTTAAAAAAGTAGTATTTAGTGGAGTACTTCAAACACCATAACATACAAGGCTAGGAGACAAGTGCTGGAAAATTGAATTACAATGATATTCTTGATCACTGTTGCAGACACATCAGGCTGAAGGGCTTTTGTGCTTTAAAGAGAACTGACTGTAAAAGTAAAAGGGCAGCAGATACATGGGAACACCACCCCCTGCAAGTTCCCCTTCGAGCCACTCACCATCCTGACTTGGAAATATATCGCCGTTCCTTCACTGTCACTGGATCAAAATCCTGGAATTCCCTCCCTAAGGGACATTGTGGGTCAACCCACAGCACATGGACTGCAGCGGTTCAAGAGGCAGCTCACCCCCACCTTCTCAAGGGGCAACTAGGGACGGGTAATAAATGCTGGACCCAGTCAGCAACAAAATTGAGAGAGAATTGGGAAACATGAGCGTTATTATGAGTCATCATTTTGGACTAAAATGAGCAGGGAATGGTGGAGCGGAGACCAGAAAGACCAACAGGAAGTGTGGACAATACAAACAAAATAAAGAGTTGTCTTTCGTAAGGGGCTCAAATATATAGAGACACAAATTGTTTAGACAATGAAGTACAGTAATGCTCCCTCCAGTGTTCAAATTTCATTCTGCACCAAGTGTACTCATCACCTCAGAAAAGCTAATTTAAATTAAGCGACTGCTTTCTAGTATTCTCCCAGAGTGATTAGTTTCTCAAATCAATCCCATCAACCCTCAATCATTGTAAACTATAAATCTTTCTGCCATCTGTTCACATCAATTGGTCCGACTCTCGTTCTCACTGCGACCGGGTTCAGTTTAGTGACATCGCCCTTTGCTCCATTACCCAGCAGGCAATCTACCCTTAACCTCTCATTCCCTGGTTTGATCCATTCAGAGATCAAAGGCAACTTTCTGCTAACTCCCAGCTGGTAGACACTGTAGGCTTACATAGGGTTTTATATTTTCATGTTTACAAAGTATAAGTCTTGTTGTTAGCCATCTGCAACAGAGTAAAATCTAAAAGAAGAAATTTCTTCAGTGGGTTGTTTGGGGAGAGTAGACAGTAGTGAAGCCTATGTCATTGACTATATTAGAGGTGGGTTTAAACAGATTTTTGATCAAAGAGTGTCCAGGGATCCAAAATTGGCTCTGTGACAGGAGACATAGGGCAGTGGTGGAAGGCCAAGAGAGCAAGAGAGAGAGGGCAAGAGGGATTGGAGGCCAGTGTGCAGTGGTGTACCACAGGGGTCAGTGCTGGATCCCCGTATGTCACATTCATAAATGTGAATGAGAATATGGAAGGGATGGTAAGTTAGTTTGTGGACAACACAAAAGGTTGGCCAGGTGGTTGACAGCGAGGAGGAAGTATAAACAGATTGGTCAGATGGGCAGGTCAGTGTCAGATGGAATGTGACCCTGATTAATGAGAGGGGATACGCTTTGGAAGGAGGAACGAGACAAGGGAGTACTCAATGAATGGGCAGGACACTAGGAAGCTCAGAGGAACAGAGGGATGTTGGGGAGCTTGTCCACAGATTCCTGAAGGTGGTAGCACACATTACTACTAGGGGAATTAAGATAGTATACAGGATACTTTGCCTATCAGTCATAAAAGCAGGAAAATTATACCGAGCGAGGCCACAGTTGGATGGAGATTTTGGTCAAGAATAAGAAGGAAGCACATATTGGGTCTCGACAGCAGAGATCGAGTGAATCTGTAGAAAAGTATACTCCTACTGCCTTATACTCAAGAGGGAAATCAGGAGGGCAAAAAGGGGATGAGAGATAACTGTGGCAAATAGGGTTAAGGAGAATCGAAAGGGATTCTACAAATACGTCAAGAACAAAAAAAAGGGAGAAAATAAGCCCCATTAAAAAAAAAAATCAGCAAGGCTGCCTAAGTGTGGAACTGCAGGAGATTGGGGGTGGGGGGGAAGCAAGAGAGATACTAAACAAATATTTTGCATCAGTGTTTACTGTGGAGAAGGATATAGAAAACAAAGAACAAGGGAAAATAAACAGCAACATCTTGAAAATGTCCATATTATAGAGGTAGTGGTGCTGGACATCATAAAACACAAAAGTGGATAAATCCCTGGGACTGGATCAGGTGTACCCTAGATCTCCATGGGAAGCGAGGGAAGTGATTGCTGGACCCCTCGCAGAGGTATTTGTATCATCGATAGCCACAGGTGAGGTGCTGGAAGACTGGAGTGGAGGGTGGCTAATGTGGTGCCACTGTTTAAAGGTGGTAAGGAAAAGCCAGGGAACAATAGCGCGGTGAGCTTGACATCGGTGGTGGGCAAGTTGTTGGAAGGAATCCCGAGACACAGGTTTTACATGTATTTGGAAAAGGTAAGGATGGATTATGGATAGTCAACATGGCTTTGTGTGTGGGAAATAGTGTCTCACTAAAGACTGAATTTTTTTGAAGATGACTGATGAAGGCAGAGTGGCAAATGTTGTCTATATGGACTTCAGTAAAGTGTTCGATAACGTTCTGCATGGTCGACTTACTAGCAAGGATAGATCACATGGAATACAGGCAGAGCTAGCCATTTGGATATAGAACGCTCAAAAGGTAGAAGACAGAGGGTGGTGGTGGAGGGTTGCTTTTTGGACTGGAGGCCTCTGACCAACGGTGTGCCACAAGGATCGGTGCTGGGTCCACAGCTTTTTGTCATTTATATAAATGACTTGGATGTGAACAGAGGAGGGATGGTTAGTAAGTTTGCAGATGACAATAAAATTGTAGGTGTCATGGACAGTGAAGAAGGTTACCTCAGTATGATGGGACCTTGATCAGATGGACTAATGGGCCGAGAAGTAGCAGATGGAGTTTAATTTAGATAAATGTGAGGTGCTGCATTTTGGAAAGGCAAATCAGGGCAGGACATACACACTTAATGGTAAGGTCCTGGGGAGTGTTGCTGAACAAAGAGACCTTGGGGGAGCAGGTTCATAGTTCCTTGAAAGTGGAGTCGCAAGTAGACAGGGCGGTGAAGAAGGCATTCAGTACATTTGCCTTTATTAGTCAGTGCATTGAGTATAGGGATGGAGGTCATGTTGCAGTGGTACAGGACATTGGTTAGGCCACTATTGGAATACTGCGTGCAATTCTGGTCTCCCTGCTTCAGGAAGGATGTTGTGAAACTTGAAAAAGGGTTCAGAAAAGATTTATGGATGTTGTCAGGTTTGAACTACAGCAAGAGAGGTTGAATAGGCTGGGGCTATTTTCCCTGAAGCGGAGGCTGAGAGGTGACCTTACAGAGGTTTTATAAAATCATGAGGGGCATAGATAGGGTGAATAGACTAGGTCTTTTCCCAGGGTAGGGGAGTCCACAACTAGAGGGGCATAGGTTTAAGGTGAGGGAAAAGATTTCAAAGGGACATAAGAGACAACTTTTTCCACGCAAAGGGTGATGCGTGAATGGAATGAGATGCCAGAGGAAGTGGAGGAGGCTGGTACAATTACAACATTTAAAAGGCATCTGGATGGGTAGGGGTTAGAGGGATATGGGCCAAATACTGGCAAATGGGACCAGATAAGTTTAGGATATCTAGTCAGCATAGATGGGTTGGACTGAAGGGTCTGTTTCTATGCTGTACAGCTCTATGACTCTGAGTACTATGTGTAGTTCCATTCCCCATCCTATTGGAGGGATGTGGTTGCACTGGCGGTGGCGTAGAGGAGATCCACCAGGATGTTGCCTGGGATGGAGAGTCTGGGTGAGCTCGGGTTGTTTGCTTTGGAGCAGAGAAGATGGAGGGGGCGAAGTGTATAAGATTATGAAGAGCATGGATAGTGTGAATAGAAAACAGCTGTTCCCCTTAGTTTGAGGGTCAATAACAAGGGGGCATCATTTTAAAGGTGGAAGGCAGGAGGTTTAGAGGGAACTTGAGGAAACTGGATTTCAACCCAAGGGAGGTGGGGGATCTGGAATGCACTGCCTTTAAGTTGATTGAGGTGGGAAATGTTACAACCTTTACTTGTTATGATGATGTTTGAAGTGCTTATTCATTAAAGGCTGGGGGGGTCTAGTGCAGAAATGTGGGACTAGTGTAAACAGTGGATTTTTTTGGTGCAGACTCAGTGGGTTAAAGGACCTCTCCTGTACTCTATAACTCTGAATAGAAGGAATAAATGGAACCAGGGTTGGAGATCAGGAACTCTGTTCTGGTGACAGGCTAGCCAACCTGAAACGGCCAGCTAGTGTTTTCTGCCATTACATCCGACCCAGTGGGGAAAACCGGAACAGTGTGACATCACTGGGAGCTCAAAGCAAACAAATGGACTAATGGGAGAGCTCTTTGAAAGAGATGAAACAATGGGCTGAACGGTCTTCAGGCAGTCTCTCTCATTCCACATCCTCACCTTTCAGTGAAGCCAAGCGGAGTTACTTTGGTGACAACGTCATTGCTCCCTCCAAGGTTCATCCAATCTAGAACACGATTAAAAACATTCCTAGCCAAGGCCTTGAGCAACCTCCCCAAAGGAGCACAGGGAGCGAGAGGAATCAGATACTCACCTTTGGCTGCCGTTTTGTATCCTCAAAGACCTCCAGAGGGTTGGGGTTAGGATTGGAGTGACCCACAATGGTCGGGCCAAACACTCTGGCCAGGTTCTGTTTGTCCATTCTACATCCTGGGCTGGCCATCACCCTGACAGGAGACAGACAGGTCACAACAAGTCATTGCCACTCTAACCGCAGCTCCAAGAGGGAGGTCTCGAGCTGGAGCTTACAGCAAGTCCCAGACCTGGCTAGGACCTTGCCATCCAACTACAGTCACTGTGTTGCCAGCTCAGGTGCAGGGAAGTATGGGGTTAGGGTTGGGGGTGGGGTGCGGGGGCAGAAACAGGCCCCCAGTGTCTCCTTGTTTGGATGTCAAAGGCCCCCACAGCAGCACTGGAAGTGGTTTGAGGGGGGAAAATGTCTGCTTTTCAAGTGCTCATTTGCTATAATGTTGTTTCATTGGGATCTTGCTGTGCAACGCACTGCTCACAGCTTGTCCCATGTTGTAAGTGAAGCTCAGATGTTTCAAAACAGAAAATAAAGTCTGTCAAGATGGAGAAACGCCAGTCAGTGGAATCCAACCAGAATTTGAGCTTTGAAGGAGGGGGGCTGCTGGGCAGTTTCAGATCAGAGGGTCTTACCTCTGAAGATGCACCATGAGAAAGGCCAACGTGTCACGGTTAGCTCGAGGCAGGCTACTCACAGCACGACAGAGGTCCTTGTTCCTCTGCTCATCCAGGAGATCTACGGGAGACACAGGAGAGGGGTGAATACAGAGATTGAAGTATCCCTGAGCTGATGTATTGACCGCAGTGAGACAGACAGACACACACACACACACACACACACACACACCTCGACTACCAGGGACTCATGCACAAGAGCAATGACACCCACACTGCACATTATAAAACCATCACCCAATCTCTGCTATCTGATGGCAACATTTGGAAAAGCCGTATTGTGGGCAGCTAGGGATCAGCCTAAAAGGAAACCTGAACCAGTTTTAGGTTCGAATATATATTTTTAATTCATTCACAGGATGGGTCAGTATTTTATTGCTGGTCCAATTACCCAAGAAGCTGTGAGCTTCTGTTTTAAATTTTTAAAGAAAGCTTGGCAGTTAACTGTCAATCATGAACCAGTGCATTCTCCATATCAATGCTTCAGCCCTATCGAAGTCCAATACTAACCAAATCAAGATTCTTACTATTGTAGATTTTCTTTAAACATTGGTATGCTTGCAAACTGTCCTGCTGACTGCAAGATATAAAAACCATTTTTATTGAAGTTTCCCATCAGCAATGTTCAGGTCAAGTACCAAGCAGCCATTTCAGAAGAACAATTAATACCAGCAACACACACTAGACCCCAATTTCTCTTGGGCAAGTGGAGGACACAAACTACCTGAAGAACAGCACCACAGCAGTGTGACAGCAAGATGAGAGGTTAGAGCAGTCAGGGAAAGTTACAACCTGTTACAATGAAGACTGAGCAGTGTCCTCAGCATTACAAGGCTAGGCTCGTGGGACAGATTAAAGATGATAATTAAGAGTCACTAATAAACCTACTACAGAATGCAGGAGACATCTTCATTCAGAGAGTAGGGAGAATGTGGAACTCCCTCCCAAACGTGTGGTTGAGGGGATTTAGTGGATATGGAGCAGGGAAAAAGGAATAGAAAGAATGGTCTGATGGGAAGAGGAACATATGGAGAAGGAACTAGAGCACAGATTGATGTAAATCTAGGACAGATCTCACAGCAAGGGGAGGATTGTTTTAGGCTGGACGGGTTGAAGAGGTTCAGCAATGAACACATCCTGACCAATAGCCATTGGAGGGAAATTGGGGGAAGGAAAGGGGCAAGACCTTAGAGGAGATAGCAAGAACTGCCAATGTAAGAACAGCTGTGTTCCTCCAGCTCCACGCTGTGTTATCTCAGACCTCAGAGATGTTGTTGCAGGAATAAAACAGTAAGGGGTCCTGGAGGGAGGCATAGATTGAGCACCCCACCACCCCCCCACCCCCCCACCCCACCCCACCCCACAGGGTGATGTTGGTGACAGGGCCCAGCGTCAAAAAGGAGGCCTAGGTGGGAAACTGCCCCAAGCAGGGCCAGCCCTGGTCTTACATATATAATCTCCATAAGCCCCCTCCTGCCCCCAGTGAACAGGAAACTCCCACTGGAAAAATTAGATGGGATCCAATATGTACCATATGCCCCCAAACCAATTAATTCCAGCCTTCAACCCCAGAACCTTCAGAAGACCAGAAACCAGGAACCGGAGCTTCTGGAAAGTTCTGGAAGATGGAATAGGCCTACCTGACAGTGCCATGAATGTCGGGTGCAGTTTGAACGTCACCAGAGGCTCCTTCAGTTTCCGGAGGAAGTCTTTCAGCAGCCCACACACCACATGAACATTGGAGACTCGACTGAGTAAGGGTAGACCTTTCCCTCGTACATAACCCTCTTTCAACTCCCTCACAAGTCGTTCACCACCAGGTACCCGATAAATGCCAGGCTGCGGGTGGAGGGGTGGGGGGGTGCAATTTTTGGTAAGAGGGGTGAAAGACAGGAGTTAGAATAACAGCCAGACACTGCCCTCAACTCCCAACACACAGACACAGCACCCTGGGCTAGCTCAATACTCGAGACACTGCCTGTGCCCTGTCACAGTCCTGTCCCATCACCCCTCCCTCCCCAACCACTTAATACCCCTCCTATTGGTAGTAAAACAACAGAGCCAGCACATCCCCGCCCCCCACCTCACACCCCTCAATTTGATTTCAGTCTGTAATTCACTCCCAAGTATCTGTTACTCTATATATAAATTCTCCGTGGTTAGATTTTTAGGTTTATGGTTAATCCAGACAAATCTCACTGGTCAGTAAAACCTCACTTTCAGAGTCAATTGATGAGGCTTGCTCACCTCCTGGAGCCCTCGCTGTTCAATTTCATTGATACAGTGGATGACAAGAGATGGAATCATGGGAACAGTCTGGGGGGCAAAATCTCCAACAGTTCCCTGAGAAACAAAGCAACCAGATTGGTGAATAGTGTGGCTGTAACCCAAGAGTAGCCTCAATCTGCCCCACCCAGCAGTTCCTGACTGGCTCGAGGTAGGGAGGGTGGGGGTGGGCATAAGGACATTAGTGACCCAATAAGGTTTTACAGCAGAGATAGTAGGAACTGCAGATGCTGGAGAATCTGAGATAACAAGGTGTAGAGCTGGATGAACACAGCAGGCCAAGCAGCATCAGAGGAGCAGGAAGGCTGATGTTTCGGGCCCCATGGTCACCAGTAGGCCCTGTTATTCCAGATCATCATGACTGACTTCAAATATCACCATTTACCATGGTGGGATTTGAGCCAATGGCCCCCAAGAGATTACCCTGGGGTTCTGGATTACTAGAACGGGGGCATTATCACCATGTTACTGGCTTCTCCATCTTGGTCTGACTGGTCACATATACTTCAAAATCAGAGCTCCACCATTCAATACGATCAAAGCTGGATATCTCACTCAGTCCCCGATTCCCAATCCCAGCCTTTCATTCCTTTAGCCTCTCAAGAACCATATACAACTCCTTCACCTCAAAGTATTGTCAGGTTTGATAATTACCGGTTTTTGGGTGTGTGTTCATTTTAAAAATCACTGCACACAATCTGTGGCCTTGACTTCAGCTGCCTGAACGAGGAGCTCTGAATTCTTTCTTAATGGGGCGGCACGGTGCCTCAGCGGTTAGCACTGTAGCCTCACAGCGCCAGGGACCTGGGTTTGATTCCACCCTCAGGCAACTGTCTGTGTGGGGTTTGCACATTCTCCCCATGTCTGCATGCGTTTCCTCCGGGTGCCCTGGTTTCCTCCCACAGTCCAAAGATGTGCAGGTTAAGGTGGATTGGCCATGCTAAATTGCCCATGGTGTAGATTTGGTGGGTTATAAGGGGATGAGTCTGGGTGGGATGCTCCAAGGCCCTGTTTCCACACCGTAGGGATTCTATGATTTCTATGATTCTAAACCTCTCCATTTCTTCCTCTGACATTCCTCAAGATCTGCTTCAGCGGGACTGTCAACATTTAGAACATAGATCATAGAACATAGAACATTACAGCGCAGTACAGGCCCTTCGGCCCTCGATGTTGCGCCGACCTGTGAAACCAATCTGAAGCCCATCTAACCTAAACTATTCCATTATCATCCATATGTTTATCCAATGACCATTTAAATGCCCTTAAAGTGGGCGAGTCTACTATTTTTGCAGGCAGGGCATTCCACGCCCTTACTACTCCGAGTAATGAACCTACCTCTGACATCTGTCCTATATCTATCACCCCTCAATTTAAAGCTATGAAATTTGTTGGTTAATGTTTGCAGGGAGATTTCACCGTGAAGTAGATTGGAGAAACAGTGAGGGGAGTTTGAAACCACTACCTCGTGTCCATACCTCACCGTTTTTGATGGAGATTGTGGTGAAGTTGGGTGAACAGATTGCAGGGCATCGCTCCTTACAGCTCACGTGGGCAACAATATTGCAACTGCGACACTTCAGAGCCATTCTCCCAAATCGGATCCGTTTCCCACAGGGAACACATGTCTCCGGCATAATGATCTGGGGAACGAGACAGAAACAATTACTCCCAACTACTTAGGATTCCATCTGCAGTCAATGACAGAGAACACTCTCCCCTCCTGACCCCCCAAACCCTGTCCGCCATCTACAAGGCACAAGTCAGGAGTGTGATGGAATACTCCCCACTTGCCTGGATGAGTGCAGCCCCAACAACACAAGAAGCTCAACACCATCCAGGACAAAGCAGCCGCTTGATTGGTACCACATCCACAAACATCCCACTCCCTCCCCCACCGACACTCAGTAGCAGCAGTGTGTACTATCTACAAGATGCACTGCAGAAATTCACCAAAGATCCTCAGGCAGCACCTTCCAAACCCACGACCACTTCCATCTAGAAGGACAAGGGCAGTAGATACATGGGAACACCACCCCCTGCAAGTTCCCCTCCAAGCCACTCACCATCCTGACTTGGAAATATATCGCCGTTCCTTCACTGTCGCTGGGTCAAAATCCCGGAATTCCCTCCCTAAGGGCATTGTGGGTCAACCCACAGCACATGGACTACAGTGGTTAGCACTGCTGCCTCAGTGCCAGGGACCTGGTTCAATTCCAACTTCAGGCAACTGTGCAAACTCCACACAGACAGACATTCTCCCGTGTCTGTGTGGGTTTCCGTTGGGTGCTCCAGTTTCCTCCCACAGTCCAAAAGATGTTCAGGTTTGGTGCATTGGCCATGGGAAATTGCTGTAGTGTCTGGGGACGTGCAGGCTGGGTGCATTAGCCACAGGGAATACAGGAATAGTGTAGGGTGCTGGAGCTGGATGGGATGCTGTTTGGAGGGTAGGAGCAGGCTGAATGGGGCACTTTGCACACTGTAGCGATTCTATGATTCTAATTACAAATGGGTAATAAATGCTGGCCAGTCAGCAACATCCACATCACGAATAAAAACCTAGGGTTTTTTCCGGGGGTCTGGTGACACATGTCGCTGGATAGGGGTTGCGATAGGAAGAAAGAGAAAAGGAAAAAGAACAAATGAGAATTTTTATCACCAAGAGGGTGGCAGGAGTCTGGAACTCACTGACCGAGTCAGGAATTCTTGTAAACAGGATATTCCCTGGTGTTGTCACAGCCTCCAGGGCTAGGGGCCAGGAGTTGGAAAGTCAGATTAATATAGTCAGGTTTTTGGTCAATTAGTATGGACAAAGTGGGCTGAATGGCCTCTGCATTGGAAATGTGCCCACTGTAATTTATTCAGACTAGTTTGTAATTCCAGAACTTATGAAAAAGGAATTTAAACTCCACTAGCTGCTGTAATGGGATTGGAATTTTTCTCTCCAGAACATTAGCTGAAGCCTCTGGATTACTAACCCAGTGCCATTCCCCCCCAGCCCCACGTTTCCCTCCAGTTACCGTTTTGGAGATGAAAGTGTGGGGCCTGGCCTGGGGTGCGCTCCCTGGTGTTGTGAATGGGTCGGGAGATGGTGTTGCGGATCCTGGAGCGGTCACTAGCTGTTGTACACTCCCCACAGCGTGGTCCTCGGGAATCTGCTCTGTAAAGAAAGCAAACACAGTCAGTCTGGGGAGTTTCCCTTAATCCCCACATCTCAGCACGGGCCAGAAACCCACTTCATTCATCGGCTCCAGAGAGCTTACTCTTTACAGTTAAAATAAAATCCCCTCATAGGATTTTGGTTCAGTTGACAGGTGACGGTGTGTGTTCAGTGAGGTCAGGGCCATTAACCTCAGCGGGTCGTTATTGGAGTTGGAGATAATAAGGGGTTGTACACAGGTGACCGAGTAAACATGAAATTACAAAAGGGAAATCATGCTTCACAAAAATCAATTGCAGTCCTGAGGATGTAACTCAGACTTGATCAGGGACAGGCAGTGGATGTGATTCATTTGGACTTTGAGAGATTTCAACAAAGTCTCACATAAAAGAAATGAATGTGTAAAATTAAAACACATGGGATTGGGGCGGGGGGGAAGGGGGGGAGGAATGTGTTGAGATTGATAGAAAACTGTTTGGCAGACAGGAAACAAAGAATAGGAATTAACAGGTCTGTTTCCAGGTGACAGGTAGGGATTAGCAGGTTACCGCAGGGATCAGGAAACAGAGGGGAATGCCTGATGAGACCTGGGTGTCCTTGTACCTCAGTCACAGGTACAGCAGGCAGGGAAGGAGTGAAACTCTATTTTGTCCTACCGTGGGGAGACAATTTGAGTGGAGGAGCAGAGGTCTCTCGCTGCAATTATACAAAGACCTTGGTGGGAGTACCTCAGGAATATTGCAAGAAGTTGTGGTCTCCAAGATTGGAGTAGATTTGTAGCTCGGGTTGTGGGTAATGAGGTTGGTTGGCTCACCGAGCTGGTTTCTTTCACAGATATTTCATTACCATGCTGGGTAACATCCTCAGTGCAGCCTCCGATGAAGCGATGTGTTTTCCCACCTGGTTTTTAAACTCTGGGGTCCGTTGCGATGGATTGCCTCACTTCCGGTTTTCCTTTGTAGTGGAATGTATATGGGGTTGTGTTTATTAATAGCATGCTTCGTGGAGTGCCATGCTTCTAGGAATTCTCGTGCCTGTCTCTGGATCTTGGTGTTGTCCCAGTCGAAGTCGTGGTTTTCCTTGTCCATGTGGATTGAGATGAGCGAGTACTGGTCGTGTCTTTTTGTAGCCAGTTGGTGTTCGTGTACCCTTGTTGTTAGTTTCCTTCCTGTTTGTCCGATGTAGTGTTTCTCAGTCTTTGCAGGGGATCTTGCAGATGACATTGATCCTGTCCATGGCGGGGAGTGGGTCTTTAGTTCGGGTGAGCAGTTGTCAAGGAGAGAGGGGAAAAAGTTTAAGGGAGATATGCGTGGAAAGTTCTTTACGCAGAGGGTGGTGGGTGCCTGGAACACGTTGCCAGTGGAGGTGGTAGAGGCGGGCATGATAGCATCATTTAAGATGTATCTAGACAGATACATGAATAGGCAGGGAGCAGAGGGATACAGATCCTTGGAAAATAGGCGACAGGTTTAGATAGAGGATATGGATCGGCACAGGCTTGGAGGGCCGAAGGGCCTGTTCCTGTGCTGTAATTTTCTTTGTCATAGGGTTGACGTGGGCTTGTGTGCCATTCTGATGCCCAGTGGTCGTAGGAGTCTTGTGGGGAGTTCCAATGTGTTCCTGATGTAGGGTAGTGTGATGAGTGTGTTGGGGCGTGTAGTATCTTCCTGATGTTGTTCGTGTAGGCATCTTCTGACCCAGTTTTTTGGATATCCATTATCTTTGAAAACCTGGAAGAGGTACTCTTCTTCCTCTTGGCGGTAGTTCCATGTTGCTGCAGTGTGTTGCCCTTTTAAATAGTGTTCACACGCAGCTTCGTTTGTGTGCACTGGGATGGTTAAGGTTGAAGTTCAGTATCTGGTCTGTGTGTGTGGCTTTTCTGTGTACTTTCGTTTGCAGTTCCCCATTTGTCTTGCGCTCCACCATGACGCCCAGGAATGGGAGCTGTTTGTTCTTCTCCTCCTCTCTGGTGAATTTTATTCCGGCGAGGATGTTGTTTATAAGTTTGTGTGTCTCCTCTAATTTGGTCCATTTAATGATGACAAAGGTGTCATCTACGTAGCGTATCCATAGTTTTGGTTGGATTTGCAGAAGGTTGTGGTCTCCTTATCTGGAGGTGGGGAACATTCTGGTGAGGAGGGAGTACAGTGAGGTTTTACCAGACTGATTCCTGGGATGCTGGGGCTGACGTATGAGGAGAGATGGAGTCGGTTAAAATTGTATTCACGGAAGTTTAGAAGAATATGAAAGGGGTACTCGCATGGAAACCTATAAAATTCTATCAGGACTGGACAGCGTAAATGCAGAAAGGACATTCGCAGTGAATGGTGATTCCAGAACCAGGGGTCATTCGGATGTGAACACGAAACAGGGCAGGGACTAATTTAATGCAAATATGGAGAGCGAGAGAGAGGATTGCAGGCTGGAGGGCGAGGGGAAGGTTTGGGGTGGGGTGGGGTGGGGTGGGGCTGGGGGAGTTGACAAAGGAGCAAAGCCATGCAGCAGTTCAGAGGGAAGTATGGTGGCAGTGATGTTTGGAGGATTTGTGGACCAGGAACCAAATGTCAGTTAGCTGGCACAGGGTGGAGGGAGAAATTAAGATGGAGCTGACTGTGGTTCCCAAGAAACATTCCATCTCCCAACTCCCTCACATCACAGACCTGCCAACAGGGTGCGCCTTCTGTTCCAGTCAGCATGGCGTTGACGAGCCAATCCCCTTGGGGAGCCACAGCAAACCTCCCCCTCACTTCCTGTTTTACTGTCCATTGTGTCACTGCCCTGGACAGGGGGGTAAACAAATAAAAAAAAACAGACCGCATTTATGTAGTGCCTTTCAAAATACTTTAGAAGTGCAGTCACAAGCTGAAGAGACAGTGGTTAATGATACTGGAATTGTTTACTGCAGAGTGCTGTTGAAGCTGGGTCGGTAAGTATATTGAAAGCTGAGACAGATTTTTAATCAGTGAGGGGAATAAAAGGTTAAATCGGGGAAAAAGGCAGGAAACTGGAAAAGAGGGTTCAGATCAGCCGTGATCTCATTAAATGGCAGAGCAGGCTCAGATGGGCTGAATAGCCTATATCTACTCCCAAACGTTTCGGCTTTTTAAGAATGCAATAGCCAGTCTGTCACAGCTACTTCCCAAAACCCAGCAATGCAATTGTGACCAGTGATCACAAGTGAAATTGCAAATATTTTGGTCATAAGTTTCCAATGCTTCTTGGGTTTAGCAATGAGGCTGCAGAATTACAAAATATTCAACTATTGCTCAAAATGAGGGGAGGCGATGGCCTAGTGGTATCATCACTGTTAATCCACAGACCCAGGTAACATTCTGGGGACCCAGGTTTGAATCCCACCACAGCAGATGGTGGAATTGGAGTTCAATAAATATCTGGAATTAAGAATCTAATGATGACCATGAATCAATTGTCAGAAAAACCCATCTGGTTCACTAATGTCCTATAGGGAAGGAAACTGCCAACCTTACCTGGTCTGGCCTACATGTGACTCCAGACCCACAACAATGTGATTGACTCTGAACTGCCCTCTGGGCAATTAGGGATGGGCAATAAGTGCTGCCTGGTCAGCGATACCCTCATCCCGTGAATGAATAAAGAAAAAAGATGATACAATCCAGCAATGCTCGGTCAGTCAGTTTAATCTCAGGAGTGGGAAAACTTCTAGAAGCACTAAATTTGGAGAAAATCAGCTACATGGACCACTGCTGATTAGTTACAGAATGTGTTGAGTTCTTGATCACTCGCAGTGTAGTGTCCAGCAACAAGGAGGCGATGCTGAACTTGTCAAATACACTGGTTAGACCTCAGCTGCAGTCTTGTGCTGAATGTGGGCAATATATTTCAGGAGGATGTTAACATTAGAGAGAATATGCAGGAAGGATTCGCAAGCATGGCTCCAGGGATGAAAAACTTCATTGATGAAGATAGATTGAAGAAACAGAGCCTGTTGAGGCTTTGAAAACTATGAAGGGTCTGGATTGTAAACATAGAGAAACTGTTCTCATCGATGGAAGAATCGGAAACAGATTCAAGTTAATTGGTGAAAGAGCCAAAATAAAAGGGGAGAAGAGGAAATGCTTTATGAGTGGTTAGGGCCTGGAATGTATCATGAGAGAGTGAGCGTGGAAGAGGCAGATTCACTCGAGTGGTTACGGTCTGAAGTGACTATCCAGAGCGTGTGACGGGATACTGATGAAGTATAGTACAGCTGGAAACAATTCTCTTATGCAGGTTACTGCCTCTAACTTTCACCATGCTGCAGCCCCTTCCCCTGCTCCTCCCCCCAAACCCAGGCAGATGGGATTCACAGAGTTGGCCAACAGAGTGACCCAGGAGTAAAACCACTCACTCACCGGTACGGAGCCCACGCATTGCACAACTTGGTCAAAGGAGCGAGAGTGGGACCTCCTGGGAGCAACAGGTGGACGATCGACCAGAATGCGGCTGGAACACTGTGGAGAGAAAGGAAGATTGTAAGGTCATGGCCTGTTTTCCTCAGAACCAGCACAGCGAGAGGCAAGATGCTGCTTGCTTACCCGTTTATCCCGATTCTTCAGTTTTGCCGGCTTTAGTGCAGAAATATTCAAATCCTACAGAAGGACAGAGAGACCTAATAATCCCTTGAGACTGCCCTGTAAATACCCCCTGTCCATGTGCTTTGCCAGCTGCTCATTGCCCCAACACTACCAGGACATTGCCCCATACCCCTAATTCAGAGAATATGGGAGGGACAGTCACAAAACAGTACCCCGACCCCTCTCCCTCCATGCCCCCCACCCCAGTCAATACCCTTTCCCTCCGCCAGAGGGCTATTCCCACGAATTCTGACCCTGCCCCCTCGGTGCAGACTGACCAATGTCTCGTCACGTGTCCTGTCGTAACTGATGCTGGAACAGGAGAAGTTGGAGGTCGCTGTTTCATCAACAGCCTGGGACCTAGAAAACAGGACAGGGAGGTGTTTAGGGATGCACATGCGCACGCACACGCACACACGCCATTTTGATACTATGCCCCAATGAAACATCAGGGTAACGATTGGTCTGCTCATGGTACTGGGACAGGATTGGTACCGGGACAGGATTGGTACCAGAAAGGTTCAATCCATACAACCTAGCAGTGCCAAGCACAATATTGGAAACTCTCCAGGCAGACAATGTCTGAACTTTGCTAAAAAGTTTCCAGTGAGATGTCAGCACATATCCAAATTCAGATGAAGCTGATCAGGTTGGTCAGTTAGTTATTTCGATGGAATAGAGGAGGTTCTTGGCATTGAAGTGTGAAGAGTGAAGATTGTCACAAATTTACAACAAGGTGAGGGGCACGGACTGTCACCTGTGACCAGTAACTGGTCCTGATTCAGAGGGAGTTCAGTGTCACTCAGACACTGGGATCTGTCCTAAAGCCTCCTACAACATCCCAACATACAACAGCTTCACTTCCCAGTGCCTGAGCTACCTACTTGCCCATTGATGAGAAATGGGTGTCACTGGTTGGAAGAGAGGCCAGACTGGGGGAAGAGTCCCTTCAGCTCGGAAGATAGAAAATGTAACTCCTTTCTTCAAGGAATGAGGAGGCAGAAAGTGTCACTGCATTTATTGTCCATCCCTAACTGCCCCAGAGGCATTGCTGAGAGTCTGGTGTCACATATATCTAGACCAGGTAAGGAAAGAGTGAACCAGATGATTTTTTACAGCAGCAATCAGCAGTGGTCACATGGTCACCTTTAGGTCAGTGTTTTTTTAAATTTTAAAAATATTCTATTGCTCATTGGGATTGGAATTTCAGCCTGCCCCGATGGGATTTCGGCTCAAAGACCATTTATGGAGAGACATTGTTAGATTAAGTTCATGGGTGGCACGTTGGCTCAGTGGTTAGCACTGTAGCCTCACATCTCCAGGGACCCGAGTTCGATTCCAGCCTCGGGCGACTGTCTGTGTGGAGTTTGCACATTCTCCTCGTGTCTGCGTGTGTTTCCTCCGGGTGCTCCGGTTTCCTCCCACAGTCCAAAGATGTGCAGGCTAGGTGGATTGGCCATGCTAAATTGCCAGTAGTGTTCAGGGTGTGTAGGTTATAGGGGGATGCTCCAAGGGTCGGTGTGGACTTGTTGGGCCGAAGGGCCTGTTTCCACACTGTAGGGATTCTATGATCCCAGAATGTTCCATCTTGGAACTGAGCTCTAAATAAGATGCAATTGACCCTTAACAGAAATCAAAAGTTTATAAAAATAATTTAAACATGTATAACAAAGTCTGCTTTCGGTTACACGGATCTCCGAGCACCAGTCTAGCGACATGACCACATTGGCATCAAGGGGCAGTGATGCCAATAAGCAATATACACTGGCCTTACCTATGCCCGTCACATCCCAGAACAGGCAAGTATGGTTTGAATAGTCAGGTGCCTGGAGTTTGGGGGTGGGGGTAGTTGAGCCAGAGGGCACCGCGGAGACCATACCTGGTGCTGGCCTGTCCCTCAGGCCGAGTGTGTCCAGCCAGAGCCTGGAGGAGGTTCTGTCGATCTTCACCAAGCAACACTGCGCCAGGAGCTTCACTCTTCAGTAGGTCATGAACCAACTGCAGCCTGTGTTCCTGGGACAAGAGCAAGGGAAATGTACAATCACCAGCGAGAGAGATCAACCATAGGGCCAGGAGTAAACAGTACAGGAGGAGGCCATTCAGCCCTTCAAGCTTGCTCCACCATTCAATCTGATCATCCTACTCAGTCTCTTGTTCCCACTCTCTCCCTAATCCTTTGATCCCTAAGACATGGCTGAGGCATCCTTGGTGCATTAGTTTTAATTCTCTAAAATAAGATTTGGGGAGAGTCCCTTTAGCTTGGAAGATAGAAAATGTAACTTCTTTCTTCAAGGAATGAAGAGGCAGAAAGCAGGAAGCTGCAGGTCACTTAGTTTAATATCTGCCCTGGAAAAAAAAAACCGTTAACGTTATTACTACTGATGCTATAACTAAGCACTTGGGTGTTCACAGTAATCAGACAGAGCCAACATGGTTTTGTCAAAGGGAAATATTTTTATTGGAGCCCTTTTGAAATATAACCCGAGGTGGATCAGAGGCAAGGTGCCACATTGAAGATTATTGCAGGAATTAGAAGCTCATGGTGTTGGAGGGTAACATATTGGCATGGAGAGAAGATTGTCTGGTTAACAGGGAGCAGAGAGTAGGAATGTCTGGATTTTTTCAGGCTGGCAGGATCTCATGCCCAGGGGGCAGTACTGGGGCCTCAACTCTTTTCAATTTCTAGAAATAATTTGTGTGAAGGGATCAAAGGTTTGGAGCTAAATTTATTGAAGGCACAGATTGATCAGAAAGGGAGTTGTGAAAAGGACATGATGAAACTCCAAAGGGATATCGATAGGTTCAGTAAGTGCATAAAGATCTCGTAAATGGTGTACAACATGGGAAAAGTGTGAAATTGTCCATTTTGGCAGAAAGAAAGAAAGAAAGAAGCATATTATCTCAATGGTGAGAGGTTGCAGAGCTCTGAGATGCAGAGGGATCTGGATATCCTAGTGAATGAATCACAGAAGATTAGTCTGCAGGGACAGCAAGTAATCAGGGAAGCTCATGGAATGTTATCATTTATTGAAACAGGAGTTGAAGGAGAGAGTAGGGAGGTTAAACATCAGTTATACAGGGGGTTGGTGAGACCATATCTGGCACAGTGTGTGCAGGACTGATCTCCTATTTTTAAAGGAAGGACATCAATATGTTTGCAGCAGTTCAGAGAGGATTGATCAGACTAATCCCTGGAATGGAGGGTGGGTTGTCCGAGGAAAGGTTTGTATCCTTTGGAGTTCAGAGTGGTCAGAGGTGGTTTGATTGAAACAAAGGGTCTGAGGGGACTTAACCAGGTGAAAGAATGTTTCTGCTTGTGGAGGGGTCTATAAAACCAGAGATCTCCATTTAAAACAGACTGGGCGGTTCTGCTCCCACCTCCCCCACACCCTACCCCAACGTCCCTTAAAAGGGCTCAGGGCCTGTGATCTCTTCTCTTCCGCGGTCTTTTGAGAAAGAGGCTTTGAATTTTTTTTTTAAAAAACAGAGAGATAGAGATCTTGAGAAACAAGAGGTGAAAGGTTAAAGTGGGTGGGAATGTCATCAAACCAGGTTGTATTGGATCTTCAGGCCATTCAGCCCACTAGTGTTTGGGCTTTGTGCCAATCTCCTGCCTCCTTCCTGAAAACCTGAGCCTGTAAACACATTGGGTCATCCAACACCATTTGGGGAGCCTGGGTTGAAGCTGCCTCCATGACACTCCGGGTACATTCCAGACCACAGCTGCTCTTGTTGCAGCTACACATGGAGATGGAACTGGGAGACAAGAATGGAGAAAGCTATGCCTCAATATATTTTCAACTTCCATGAATGTTCAACCTAAGACAAGTGGATTTCAGCACAGACAGACAGTCTCCCCAGGAGGAGTCTAGATCAGAGGTGGGTCTTTACACATACTTGTACAGTCAGAGTTATACAGCATGGAAACAGACCCTTCAGTCCAACTCCTCCACATCAACCAGATATCTTAAACTGGTCTAGCCCCACATCTCTCTAAACCCTTCCTATTCATGTACCCATCCAGATGCCTTTTAAATGCTGTAATTGTACCAGCCTCCACCACTTTCTCTGGCAGCTCGTTCCATACACGCACCACCCTCTGTGAAAAAGTTGTCCTTTAGGTCCCTTTTAAATCTTTCCCTCCTCACCTTAAACCTATGCCCCTATAGTTTTGGGCTCCCACATCCTGGGAAAAGACCGTGCCTATTCCTCCTATCGATGCTCCTCACGATTTTATAAACTTTTGTAAAGTCACCCCTCCAACACTCCGGGGAAAATAGCCCCCGACTATTCAGCCTTTCCCTGTAGCTCAAACCCTCCAATCCCAGCAACATCCTTGTAAATCTTTTCTGAACCCATTCTAGCTTCACTACATCCTTCCTATAGCAGGGAGACTGGACACAACGTCCCATCAAATGGCTGAACTGGGGGGGTGGGGTGTTGTCTGTTCAGGCATTTATCATACACCTTAAAAGCTGCACAAAACATGCTTTGCATTCTCAGTTTACGTGGCAAACAATATTTCAGCACTTCAAATGCCTACTGATTTATTCACCCACTACGTGCTGTTAAAGGGATTAGTCTGTACTTTCTGGGAAAGACTCTGAATAACTACTAGAGTGGAAATATTTACAGCATTCTGGGCAAGAGCTCAACGATAAAGGAGTTAGATTACAAGCAATTAGCAATCAGAGTCACGGTCACCTTCTGGGAAGTTCATTTTCAATTCAAGACTGATTAATTTGACCAAACTTTAATTCCCAGTTGTGGGATTTGAATTCCTCTTTAGACACTGTCCTCAGGATTGAAACACCATGAACGACTCATTCTGGCTAGTGCCAGACCCACTGTGACTACAACATAAACAAAGGTTAATATAACACTCAGACTCCTCATCACAAAGGCAGATTTTGACACTCTCCTAGCAATGCCAACCAACAGTAAATACATTTTAAACATTCAAACTGACACAGACAGATTTACTGAGCTGGAACGTTATGGTTATAGTTTATTATGGAATTTTCTCAGGGCTCCCAGACTTTCCCCAATCTCCTACCAGCTGCTCGCAGGCAAGTTCTGCCTTGTGTCTCCTCCTCAACTCGACATCCAGCTGGTTACAGGCATGTTTGAACCTCACGTTGAGGGCAGTCAGTTCAAGCTCGACCTTTGCCAGCTGACTCTGAGAGGCCACCAATTCCTCCTCAGTGTACTTCCATTTCTTCCTGCAGTTCTCAAAGTTCACTGCCAACTGGAGGATTGCTACAAGATAACGAGATTCAATTCATCATCAAGCCTTCCGGATATTAACATCAAAGACCAGTGTTGTTCAAAAAAAAAAAAAAAAAAAAAAAATCACAACTTCTGAAACTGATGTAGCAGGATTGTTGGGATCAGATAGGATTCCTTAGCGAGACGAGTGGGGCAGGGCAGTGGAAGAGCGAGAGATACAGGAATAAGGTTTGGTCAAAGAGTCAGCTTTATGAGGAGCAGGGGGGTGGGGGTGGTACAGAATGAAATTCCAGACCTTAGACCCCAAAGAGCTAAAGGCACAGCCATAATATTAAAGTTGAATCTGCAATACACACAGGGGTTAGATTATGCAGACATCTCTGTTCTTAGCAGGGTAACAGAGATAGGAAACAGACAGCAAGATAGCAGAAAGAAAACACAATACACTGTACAGCCCAGACAAGGGACTGAGAAGGTTCAATCCCCAACTCCTCATCCAGAACATGCTAAAAGATTAAATTCTCCTGAGCCAAATGGCTGAAAGCTTTGGCCATTAGGTCTGGTGTATGCCAACTCTGTGGGCATACACCAGCTCATGGATTTGGCATACACCTTAACCCAATGGGTACACTACAGAGCTACAGCCCATTGGGTAAAGAGCCACCAAACTCACTTCAGTGAGAGTCTCTGAAGCCAAAGGGAGGGAGAAAGCTTCTCCAGTGTACAGTTAGGGTCACAGATCAGAAAGGCAGAGAGTAGGCCTTCTGGTATTGGACTATTTATTTAGAAATCAGTTCTAATTTCACATCAGCAGATCGGGTATTCAAATTCAGTTAAAATAATAATTTCCCAGGTGTCTCTCATGAGGAATTTCACTGATTCATTTTAAGAAAAGAAACCAACAGTTCTTGCCCAGAGTGGGCCTATCCAACCCCACACCAACACAGTCAACTCTACATCCTCTGGCCAACTTAGTAAGTCACCTCAAACTGCTACACAGGGCAGTAAGTGTCAGCCTTATTCCTGATGCTACATGATGTAAATAAGTTCACAAAGTTCACCCCAGTCCCAGTTTCAGCAACTAACAATCACCTTGCTCATTTCTCTGGGAGAGGACTTCACTCAGTTGGACAAGAAAATCCAGTTTCCTCTCCACAGCTCCTTTGAGTGTTGTCATTATTCAGAAACTGAAAGTGAATGGCTTTGTTGGTCACTGTGGATATCAGAGACCTGTGTTTCTCACCCCAAAGCTCTCTGGGAATATGAGTACACGCTGGAACATTTCCTTACTGCCAGCACTGATTACCTAATCAGGTAACTCATTAGTTGCAGACTCTGAGCACAGGCAACGAGCTGGAGGTTGGAAATAAATTCAAGAACGTGCCTTCTTCTCTCAATCAGTCCTTGCTAATTGGTCACTCTCAAATGAAGTGATACACCCTTAAATTTTCAATAGGAAACAGCTTTACTGAGTAAACACCACAGTGATCAATGCAGGTCTAAAGGGCCCACTTGTGATGCAATGGTAGTGTCCCGACTCCTGGACCAGGAGGTCCAGGTTTCAGTCCCACCTGCTCCCAAGGTGTGTAATACCACTTGCTGAAAAATAGGTCAGTTTGGGTCTACATGGATCCTGCACAACATCCAGGGTTATATAGTAATTTAGAGTAACAGCACCAGGATCGGTCACCTGATTGCTATGATTCGTGTTCGATGTTGACATCTCAAGAAGACCTGGACCCTGTATAATTGAGCACCGCACCCCCCCAACCACCGCCCCCACCCACACCCTGCACCCCCCCCACCCCACCTCTGTCACGCCCTGACCCCGTTCCCTCAGGGTCTCTGCTTGAGCCTGAGCATGAGGTCCCTAATGGGAGCTGAGTGACCTGGGGGCTCTCACTGAGGGACCATTCTCCTGTTTGTCTATGAGCTTCTGTTACCACCACACACACCCACCTCCCTCACTCCCTCAGCGTACCCCCACCCTCACTGCACCCCCACCCTCACTGCACCCCACCCTGAAAATATCCCACCCTCACTGCACCCCCACCCTCACTGCACCCCT